CCCTGTATTCTGTAGTGAGATTTCATATGTTTTCTCACTTGAAATGTTTCTTAGTGCGTAGTAACCTAGAAATCAGTGTGAAAAGGCATCCTTCCACCTTTGCAGAGGGGTGATCTCACTATAGCTTTTTTGCTCTTGGAGTCTCTGACTCCACCGAGGACACCCCTGAGACATGTTGTATTCCTGATTTTGGCAAAACACTTTCATAAAAAATGATGTCAGAATCAACTTCAGTGGGACAGGATTCAACTCCTATTATTTTTAACTCACATCACTAATATCCTTACTGGAGTCTTGCCCTGTGTGTAACAGAACCTAGCTTAAATTGCTGGGTTCAGCTGTTGCCTTGAACAGATGCATTGCTGTAATTTGCCAATAGGATGTATTACATCCTGATTACAGTTTCTGTTGAGTGATAGGTCAAAATTACGAGGCAGAAATGTGGCTAATCACGATAAAGAAGATAAGTCTATTAATCTACTGCCCACATTTAATATTTGCAGAACAGATGCTGTTTGTTCCCCTTCTGCAGCATTTACATGGAAATGTGCTTTCATTCTGAAGACACCTTAAGGTAAATGAAAAACTTTATTGGACATTTTGATGGAGGAGGGAGAAAGCTGAAATATCTTGGAAGGTTTCTTTCTGTTTCTCAGCCCTGTTAAACTTACACAAATCAATCAGTTGTAAGATGAGCCAAGTGAGCTACTCCAGGCCAGAAACAGATGTCTGTGAAAGCTGAAGGGACCATTTCTAGCAGACGGATTGCCAGCATAGGTGCAAATCATACTAGGAAAGCCTGTACCACACCAGGGATTAAGGCCTAAGTGGGCTATGAATGGTGGTGTTGCACTCATTCCCACCAAGCAATATGCAGTTCATCATGCTGCAATTGAACCATCTCTCAGTGTTTCGCATCACTGGACCATAAAGCCAAGCTTTAGATGAGGGTTGCATTAACACATTGCCCCCATTATACACTAGAGAAGTCCCATAAGTCTGAGGTTTGGGGGCGGAGGAGGTCTCACTTCATAGCTCAATAAGAGAGATTCCACTTCCACAATGTGGAATGGTTCCAGTCTGGGGAAATCTGTGATTTCCCTGCTTTCAGCCCCACCAAGCACTACCGCGGCTGTAAGACATGCAGTGCCAAGAGCAAGCGGAAGCGCGTCCGCTGGGGACAAGGCAAGAAAATGAGCTTCTGTCGTCACGCTGAAACAGAGCTTATAGCTCACATATTATACTGACAGTGATTAAACAATGTCTCTTTTTGTGCTGTGTCCCGGAGCACTGAACTGGGATAGACTCATATTGTAATGCGCAAAACGTCTTGCATCTCCTCTTCACCTATCTCTGCAGCACCTCCGGTGCCTTGTTGCTAAATAGCTGCAACAATTCAAGCTGGAGAGATTAGGTCACCCCAGGGGTCTGTGCAGCAGAGCCTACTTAACACCAGCCAGTAATCTGGCATCGTGCACTCCTTGGGACAGCAGGCTATAAAAACACGGCGGCGGTTTCCATGGGCTGCTCTGTGCAGCCAGGGTTGCCTGGCTCAGCTGTTTTATATTCTGCAAAGGCGCACTTACTCCTCAGAGTGAGAATTTGTTGTTCACGTGTTGCAGCTTGCTATGACTCAGAGCAGCCTTGCCGTCTCCTATGCTCAAACCATGACTTTGCCCCTACATACGGAGCCTTTTTCTCCCTTATGCCTACCGTGGTATCCTAAACATGTCTTGGGGTGGTTACCCATTCACCCCGTCCCCTACCACCATCTGACTGCACTGCATAGGAGACCCCCAGTCTGGGCTTGCTAAAATGAAGTCACCTGCTGTGTCTGACTCTGAATCAGAAGATTTTGGAGGATATTTTGCTGAGTTCTGTTGCTCCCTCCCTACTAAAAGTGGATGCCACCTCATATCTGCTGCACTCGTAATGTGGGGGAATAGAAAACCCTCTAGTGATGCCAAATATAAAGCAGCCGTTGAACCGTTTCAATCTGTTCCTTGCCAGACACAGCCCCCGTAGTGCTCTTGCCACCACTGATGCTCTCCTTTCCTTTGTCAAAGGCAGAGCAGAGTCTTCCCAGACCCAAGACCTGACATACGGCAAAGCCCCCACTGGGCTGCCACACGAGGAACACCGCAGGCTCCTGTAATGCAGCCCGCAAGCCTTTGTGCAGCAGCAGATTTCTTAAAGCCTGATGAAAGGGCTGGTAAGGCCAAAGCAGGCTTTGAATACCAAATGGACACAAAACAGGGCATCTGACTACATCTAAAACACATTAAAAATGAAAAGGAAAGCCCATGTCTCATACAGTCATTAACATAAATCCCAGGATGGGGCATTATCAGCACTGCTCTGATAAGGTGAGGAATGCATATTTTAAGAGGCTGACTCCCCAGGCTGGGCTGTGGGGCCCTGTAACACACAGGCTGCTGTTTCTGCTTCAATTGCATTGTAAAAGGCCCTTTCCTAGACAAAAGTATTGTGCTCCAGGAACAACAGTATAATCTAGTTTATACTGATCTTTCTGAAACACTCTGAGACCTCCTGATGAGAAGTGTTACAGGAAAAATAGGTATTCTTGATTCCTTTGTTGTCTCCACCACTCTGGTACAAATGCAGTCTGTGATAGAGTCCCTAACATATCTGATCAGAGCATCAGCCGCTTGCATTCAGCTACACTGATGTGCTGTGAAGGATGATGCTGAGGAGGCCTGGAGTATTAAAAGAGAGACAGTTTCCAATTTATGCTGTGTTACTGTGATATGCCAAGCTTGAGATCCCAAATGCACCCCGGATAATTCGGTTTACGCTTTCACTCTTCATGTCCCAGTCTCTTTTTCTGCTTATTTTTTGTCAATTGTTTCTTGCATTCTTAATTATTAACAAGGAAAGATAATGCAAACAAACACCACGGGGTAAATACTTTTCCAGCAAAGCAACAGATAAGTTTTAGCCTGCAGAGCAGGTTATGTGTTACGCTGGGCACATACACCCCTGTGACTAGCTGTGCTGCTCCTATTAAAAACATAAGGGTTTGACATGATACCGATAAAGTCACCCTCTTGAGGAAAATTAAGACCATTTGGTAATGCTGAAGTATAATCAACATTTCAAAAACAAAGCCATTTAATGGCGAATTTAGATGACTCTTGCAAGGGTGATGAGTACAGAGGGTGGGAAGCATTGAATTCTTGAAACGCATTTTGCCCCAAATGCTCCCAGGCAGCCACTTGGGATGTATATTCATCAGCTTGGGCTGGGGTCAGGGCTGGGTGTGCTTCCACGACATTCTTTATGACAAAGATAATCTTATATTTGACTGAGGATTTGACAAGTATGGATGTGATTAACTTGGCTGTTGCAGTGTTAGGGGAACAAGACTGTACAAACAAGAGCCTCCCTGTGGGTTTTTCAGAACAGACCCAACTGTACTCCAGTGAGGCCAAAGACACACCAGCAGTAATGCTTTTGTACATCTCATGCTGGTTTTCGCCCCGCAGAGTTCTTCAGTGCAAGATCACAAGGTAGCCTGTCTGAGAAGATGAAATTGAGGCTGGAAACAAAGCAAAACCCCACTAAATTCTCAATTATTAGTATCATTTGTTAGGCTACTTTCTCCATAAGGATTTATCCTGATTTATCTTATCACAAATGACCAACTCCTTCCCGTCTTCATTTTGCTCATGTGTATCTAACGCTGCTCAAGCAGTTGCTGTACTAGCAACAGCAAGATGGATATTCCTGTGGTCAAAATAGGACCACATGTGCCGGTATACCATAGAGGCAATCCAAAGAGGGAATATGGGACCTTGCATGTTGTGCAATCTGGACTGACTTAAGGGCAAATGGGGTGGTTATCTTCTATGAATACACTGGAGTTCCACTTCAGACCATTGCAGGAGTCAGGGGGAAATCCACAGGAAGGGCAAGCCCAGGGTCTCCCGTCCCAGTTGGTTCAGCCCCTGCTGGTGAGTCAGCCCCAGATTCAGGGCAGTGTGCCCCAACAGCAGCTCTGAAAGAGGGCATGGAATGGACATGCCAGGAGAAGTGACCTGGAGGAGACAGACTTAGAAAAGATAATATACCCTAGGTAATATACAGAAATATACTCTGATAAGAAAAGATAATACATTAGAAAAGGCAATATACAGAAAAATACTCCGCGAGAGGCATGTGCTGACTGAGGATAGCAAAGCCACTGAAGAGGTCAGGGTGATGCCTTCACTTCCTCCATCCCAAGAACTCTGCTTTGACTCACTGAGATGCCTATGAGTGGCTGAGAATGCTGTTTTGGCTCTGTGCTGAGCTCTTCCTTGAGCACTGCATCAAACCCCACACCACAGCTGGTGCTGATGCATTTCCCTCAATACTGCTGCCAGGCTTCAAGACCAGACTGAGATTGTCATCTCAGTACCCCACAAGCTGTCAAATAAAAGTTTATCATGGTCACTGAAGCATTAAGGCAAAGTCTCTGAGCATCACAAGCTGTCTGCAAAGCTCTTTCCCTTTAGTTATGTCTGTCCCCACTGTCAGTCCTGTAGAAAATAACCATATTCCTTCTTTCAGGGGAAGCTTTAGTAATTTCTGCCCAGAATTGTGACACCCCACGTAACCCTGTGCAGGAAGCTGAAAGCGTTATTCTTGCTCCCAGATCTGTTCCTGACCTCTCTACATTTATTTTATGGGGGTGTGAAATTCTTTTTGACCCAATTACAATTCCCACTTGGCATTTTGGTGCTAGAAATTTAGATGTAGAGCTGCTGAACAAAAACTGTGTCAGATGCACTGTGGTCACCACTATGTCCCTTTAGAGTGGAGATGAGCAGACAAGAGCTGCAGGCACAGAGATCGTTTTACATTTAAGCCAGTGTTTAATTCTCCTAATAGCCCCAAGATTGCCAGAGCTCAAAGTCTTACACACAGGATTAAGAGACCTCCTAAATATAGGCTTGTTGTTGCATGGAAGGTAAAAGAACAACAGAGTTGCTCAGAACTGTTTTTGAAAAACATTTATTTCTGTCACGGGTTTGTAGCGAGGAGTCCCAAGCCCCAGTACAACACAGTTTCCCCCTACACATTAAGTCTGAAGACAATTACATTTGATGAAAAATGAAAAAGCCATACAAAGAAGCCCCCCAGACAAACAGGTGGATACAAAACAAACAGCGCCCAGTTTCTCTCTGGGCCTCTGCTGTTGAATGTTTTATCCCCACATAGATAGAGCTGCTGCACTCCTTCCCGTACTCATTGCCAGAGGAAAGTTCACTTCTTCAAGGCCCCAAATAACTGAAGGTGTTGGGTTTAACTGCTAAAAGAGCAGGGGGCACATGGGCAAGAAAAGGCTGCTAGGATTCAGTGGCTGCTATTTTTGCACACATCATTTAAAAAGGAAATCTGTGCATTTCAGTTTCACCTCCTGAGCCCCAGCATTAAGAAAGTCCAATACAAACCCAGAGACCGATGTACACAAAATAGTGAACAAGTGCCCAGACATTTCTAAGCCACTCGGTTTACTGTGCCTTGATACCTCTGAAAACCAACAAAATCCCTACGTCTGGATCATGTTGGATCTTACTTTGAAGAGGGAGGGATAGAGATACAGCACATAGCATAGCAACTGTCAAGCAATGTTTAAGGCAAATTTTTCCTATTTAGGAGCTGAAGAATTTTGTTTGCTTTGTTGTTTAAGCCGTTGGATAACATCTCAGCTGGACATTTAAACTTAGACAATTTAATCAGTGTTTCAGTGAAGTCGGCTCAAGTTGATCCGAGCACAGAAGAGCAAAAAGCATTATCCCCAAGAATATCAACCTGAACAAATTCAGAAAAATTAATCGATGTTTAGAACTCCCCCAAAACTTTCTTCCCTCAGAAACCAGGTTTGAGCCCAACTAAAAGACACAGACATGCATGCACAGGAAGAAGGACACAATGGCAAGCCGCTACAAACACAATGCTGAAAAACACCAAAAGCAGATACAAACCTAAATTCCACAGATGTGAGGACACCCACAGAGTTATGAGTAAAAAAACATGGGGAAAAGAGAAAAACAAACATCCCAAGAGTGATGTTTTGTGATATGGAATGGAAAGTCCACCGTATGTGAAAAAGGGAGTTCTTGTGTGCACACACAGAAAGCTGGGGGGTTCAGTTGCCTCATCTCTCAGTTGTTAGTTTGTTGTGCCTTTCCTCCCCCTGTCAGACCCAGGTGATGGTGCCAGGAGGTTGGTATGTTTACTCATTCTGTGCATCATAATTAGCCCCCCCTGCTTTCTTCAGCTCACTCTTGATGTAATTCTCATCCAGCTCTTTGTGGTCACTGATCACGAATTCTTTGGCAAAGTTCTGCAAGAGATAAAGAAAAGGTTTGTTAAGAAAGGAAATACTCATCCCAAGTACCTGAATAAAGACAGTTATCTGGCTTCCGTGGCTTTATGGGCTATGCACCTACTGTGGTAGGGATGATAACAGGAATCTTTGGACGAGACTGAAGACTGACAAAATTCAAGACTTATGCTAGAAGGCTTGTTTCTATTCTATTCTATTCTGTTCTATTCTGCTTCTGCTCTATTCAACTTACGTGTGTCTACTTCTACAGTCACTGGCTGCAAGGCCCAATCCTGCCCCATGCAACAGCTCTTCCTACCGATAAATGCACAGGCTGGGTTAGGTCCAGTTTCCTAAGTAGTATGCAAACCAAAAAGCTCGAAACTGTTGACCTAACTGCCACTGACCCTCAGCATAATCTTGGGCAAGTCACTAATCCTATCTGTGCCCTTTTTAGGACCCCTTCTTCTAAAAAAAGAACAGTGCTACACCACAGTACACTACAGTATCATAACCCACAGGCTAACAGGACGATGCCTCAGTTAAAGATTGAGCAACTTCAGTAGATTTACTAACTCCTCCTCTCAACTGTCTAACACATATCATGGCCAAAACCAAGATAACTGCACCAGGCAGGCTGCTGGCGTTAATAGGCTCCACTATGCTCTGCGGTCTAATGATGCAAAGTGACCTTTAAGGACACGCTTTATTAATACACTTGTGTGCTATCTAGCTGCTTGAATGCTTTTTGCCACTTCTGGGAGCTGGGCAAGCCCAAGGCAGCACGCTGTGATGTGAGGCTGTGAACAGAGAAAACCTTTCTCAGAAGAGATGGCTGTGAATGGGATCCCACAGTGCCTTTGGGGCACTTGTCAGGGCAGCGTCACTACAGTCAAGGATTTGTTCCTTTGTGGGGGCTGTTCCTCCTGTCTCACAGCAAGGGTGGCATGCATATGTGCGCACAGGCATTTCAGCAAACATCCACATTTGCCTCTTGCTTTAGCATTTTCCTTCCCTTCCTAACCACAACTGAAAACACTGCATGTTTCCTTCCCTTCCCCCCAGCCCGCAGAGGTTTTAGACAGCATGAAAAACACGAGCATCCACTGGACTCTGCAGAGCCAGGGGCGAACTGACGGCAAGTAAACACGAATCAAAATCCCAACAGCCCTGCTGCAATGTCTCAGGAAAGCTGCAATGCTTGGCTCCCCGGGCAGCAAGCGCCCCGAAAGGTGACAGAGGGTGCCTGAGAGAATGAGGCAATGCTTTCAGAGAGAAGCAGTCATCTTGTCCGGGTCTCCCTGGTGCTGGAACAGTTCCGGCACAACCGTGGAAGGGGGTTTCTAATTGATTTCAGACTCTAAACCATGGGAGAGCTCTTTATTTGGCAGCATCTCAAGGGTCTCCGTTTGGGATCAGAGTCGGGTAAAGGAGGGGGTGGAGAAGGATTCAGCTTGAAAGAGCCTCAGCACCTCTTTCATGCGGTGGAAGGAATGGAAGGGAGAGCAAAACAGCTCCCTCCCCCTCGCCAGTCTCCCAGGCTGTGGCTGATCCTGTTTCACACTGCAGGAAATCCTCACTACCGAGGAGCTGCTTGGCGGGGAGGGAGGGGGGAAGCTTATAGCAGCTATGAGAAGCCTTGTCCACTCTGCTTTAGTATATCAGCAGCTAGACAAAGTCCTAAGACGTAACAACTGCTTCGTAGCACCATTTTGCTCCATGCTTCAATGGTCAGCTTTTCTGGTGTGAAGACAGACATTACAGGCATTCAGCCATGTCTGAGCAGGGCTCAGGGAAAATAGGAAAGAAATTGTTTATTTAGAGAAAAAAGATCCTTCTTTTGAGATGGGAAATGAAGAGGCAAACTGCCCAAAACATCAGATTCGGTCATGCTCACAAGTGTCCCACTTCCAGGTCTCCTGTGAGATGTCTGCAAAGCTCAGCTCTTGCTAAAACCAAACAAATGATTTTCGGCTATTCGATGTTCACTGAGCTGTGTTACCTACACGGATTTTGAGCTGAGCCTTTTCAATTTCTTTTCTCTGTGCTAACAGGTTTAACAAATTCACCTTCAACTCAGGAAGCAGACTATTCAGGACTACCCAACCTCAGTGCTAGTCTTTGCCCTGACTTTACTGAGAGGCAGGTGCATAAGAAGGATCCCATGAAAATGTGTGTATTTTATAAATCCAATGGAGAGTTTCCTTCAGCACCCACTCTGCAGATTCTGAAATTAAAACTGCAAGTGCAATCACGAATGAACAGAGAGGAACTGAATTATATGTTCCACAAACTAATTATAATTACTCAAATGTTCTTCCCAACTAGACACTTACCCAGATGAGTCCTGCGTGATGATCTGTGAGCACCAGCCACTGTTTCGTGTCTGTGCCACCGAGACACCTCACAAGGTTTGAACAATCCCCCCCTAACAGTAGCCAGATGGATGATATTCCCAGCCAGTCTGAAATATCCCCTTAGCTGCCTGGGCCACCTCTTGTGCCAGGTTTGTAGCCTCAAGAGTCTGGGTTGCTGTTTAATAACTCTTTGCTTTATTGGTTTCTGCTGTCAGGGGCTTCTCTGGTTCTTTGCACCAACTCTAACCCACCGTGATGTCTCATCAAGCCTGGCCCCAAGGGGAGAAGATGCTTCTGGTGAGTTTGCTGCCTGCAGCTCCTGATTTCAGTATTCTGCTTGACCCTTCTTCAGCCATAGCCTTCCTTGTAATTCTGAATTCACTGTTTGAGCTCTTTGGAGCTGAGCTTTTGTCCAGGATGCAAATCATAAGGTGAAGGGAGGCAGATTTTAGAGATGGCTGACACTGCCTTCTGTGTCATCAGGGCAGGGAGACAGGAGGCACTGTGGCCCTTAGATCAGGAGACTGGGCACGCATGATCAACAGTAGCACTTTTCAGCCAAGGGCCATCTTATCCAGAGTTCACACATTTTCACTACCAGAATGTAAAACTGCTCACAACTCATTTAATTGGGTCTGATGTTAGCTAGACCAGGCACTGGTCCTTATTTGGCATGACTGTCATCTGCAACTATAAATAACTGATCACAGAAACTGGCTCCTACAAAGCAAGAGGAAAATCCCAGCTTCAAGCAGCTAACAGCAATGCCAACAAGCATCCAACTTAAAGACAGGTTTCTTCTCTGCCACCAGATTTTCTTTCTGCCCTTAAGAGACTGGGTTGGAGAAAGTCCCTGCTTTCTCTTCTCTTGCATACACCAATACCTAATGCCTTTCAAGAGCTCTGCAGAAGTTGTAGCTGCCTAAGGCACGATGCATAACCGATGCTGAGGCTCTTGCTTTGCTGACATGCATCCTTATTTTACATCCTCCACTTCCTTTTCTCTTCTCCTCCCCCTATCCCCAAGCTTTTTACAACCAGAGCAAGCCCTTCAAGTGAATTCTAGCCTTTGTAATCACCCCAGAGTCACCAGCAGCCTACAGATAACAAAAACAATGATGCCATTTATCTTTATCTCTCTCACACACAACAGTGACCAGTCTCTTTGCTTTGCCTCTCAAATCATTGATTACGATGTAAAAAGTAAGGTTTACTCATGGTTCTTCAATGCACCTATCTAGCACGTGGCTTTACTTTGTGCCTGAGTAGCAGAGGGTCATGATTTTGCAATCCAATCCTGTGTCAACCTCTATGAGATACTACAGAAAGAAAGGGCTACAGCCATGCAGGTCAGGTTGCCAAAAGGGAGCCTGCATCTCTCCCTAGGAAGCATAAGATTTGTACAGCAAGCTCAGTCCAGCGTTTCTGTTCCAGACAACTTTATGGGGGCAAAAAACCCAAAAAGGTGGAGTAGATTTCTTCCTATTCCAGGCCCTGAATGTTTAGCATATGGTGCCATAAAATTTGCCTAAGTTGCACAAGGGAAAATCTGGGTGGTGCAGATACTGTACCAGAAAGGTCTGCAGAGGCCGTTATAAATCCCAGCATGGGTAGGCCTGAAGCCAGAAGGAAAATCCTTGTATCATCTACAGACACTTGGGTTCTTAGCAGCTAGGGATGGTGCCAGGTAGTTGAGCAGCTTCCCACTGGTTTTATTTACACTGGAGCTTGCAGCAGCCTCCACTGATGTTCAAAATCCTCAGTTCTACTGTGCTTAATGTCACCACTCGCATCCACTGGTAACCTTATTTTCAGAGCACATGCAGTACAGTGGAGATGACATCTCCCATGTTTCTTATGAGTCCTATATCTGAGGTCATGGGGAAGAAAGGACATGTCCTATGGCTGCAGCAGAGGTACGTTCTTGCAGGGCCTCTCTGAGTACAAGGAGACCTATAAACTCAGAAATGCCTATAACAATATATTACCATTGTCCTCTACTCTGGCTACACCAAATCTGGTCCTGTGATCAGCTGTCACAGTCCAAGCTATCAGCAAAAAATCTCTCTTCAAATCTACTTCTTGCCAATTTTTACATGGACCAGTTCCAGCCACTGGGAGAAGCCAGCCCAAAACCTCTGGCAAACACATCTCTCAGCAACAGGAACGACATTCCAGCTGATCTGCAAATTCTTCCTATCTGTGCTGCATCCCACCGGAAAAGTCACAGGGCTGTGTGTCAGATGTGGGGGGATGAGAAGAGGCTGCTTATTCGGTTCTGAAGAAGTTACTTACAAAATTGCCACCTTCTCTACACTAGGGCTAGGAGCTCTTGTAAATCCATATCCACATGGTATGGTCATTACAGTAAACTGTAACAGGAAAAACAGTCAAAATGAACAATCCTGCTTGCTTTCCCAGCAGGATCTCACTCACCCTTCTTAGAAAGACCATCTCAAAGCTATTACTGTATGAGTTTGATTTTCTGACTGCCCTAACAAAGCTATTAAACCAGCTGTACTAACATGAGAAACTCAATGCACACACATGGAGTTGTATGTGTTGTATCTGTCCTGAGACCAGGGACAGTAACCCCATAAGTGCATCCTCCCTTGAGAGGTACCAGCATCAGTGCAGTGAGAAATACAGAGGAAAAGAGAAAGGTGAACAGAAAGATCTGGCCATGAGCTTGAAAGCAGGAACTCAGTAAACTTGTTGACATCACTAAAGCCAGGCCAGTTCCTCACCGAAAATAAAAATGAATAAAATGCCATGAATATTTGCTCACAGAAACAGAGCTGTTTTACCCTGAATATGCAAATAACAGAGCATATGACTTTGTGGGGGCAGCAGTGCTGACGAAAACAGGGAAGAGTAAAAAGTTATGGAAAATACACTGTCAAAGGTGAGGCAGTCCCTTTGCTGAGACAGCCCTGTAGAGAAATTCAGCCCCTTGAGGAAAAAGACCTCCACATTGGCTAATGAAGGGTTAAAATCTCTTGGTAAGAAATGTAGCCATGGAGGGCTACAAGTTCACAGAGAGGAAGCAACTCTCAGAGGGAAACCAAGTCCTGTGTTCAGTTCTTCAGCATTCACATCAAAACCAGACTGCTTTAGCAGCATTTGCCACTACCAGCCCCACAGCCGTTGTGCCTGGGCTTGTCCTAACTGGAAGAAAAGCACCAGAACACCATCCTGCTGCCTCCCAAAGCAAATTCACTGTAAGGCCTGACGCTCCTGTGCTTAAACTCCACAGCTGCCAGGTTTCACCTTGCAGGAATTTTTATGGCTGAACTGAACCTCATGCTGGCAGCCATTCCAGCCCTGACAAGCAGCTTACAACAGCCTTGATTTCTGGGCTTAAGCTGACCGACCTGTTTCTCCTGGGCCTTTGGAATAAAACATGTCAAAACAACAGCCCCCCCAGCATAGAGTCCCCTGGATGGATTTGTACTAAGGCTGAATGAGCCACAGCTTATGCATATAAAGGAGGTAAAAAGCAGAACCGTCCTTACTTCCAGGGATACAAAACATGAGTTTAAGACCAGCTTCGAATGATCTCCTTTTCAGCCAAGCAGAAAATGTGCCCAAAGCCTTTCTTTTCTGCTGGTGCCTACTGCCAGCTGGGTACAACTCTGGCATGACAACTAGTGGCTTCCAGTGATCAAACAGCAGCACAGGATACAAATTCCGCTGCGGGGTCTGCTGCATATGTGACACTCTGTATGCATCTGCCAGTTCACCCACAGGCACAAGGTAAGACTCTACTGATGGTGACAAAAGTCATCCTAGCTTAATGCTTCATAAAGTTCTCCAGCTGTTAAGTTTAGATCATTCTAGATTTTGAGTGTACCCCACAAATGAACTCCCAAACATCTTAAGCAACAGTCTGCAAAGCATGGGATGTTGTGCGCTACTAGTCCCTACCCTTAGGTATGTCCTTGGTCTAAACAGAAGCTCAGTGAGAAAAGATTTACACAGGAAAATCTCTACACTTTAGTACTTAGCCATACCGTAGAGACAGTGTTCTCACAGGAGAATGGATAATTGGTACAATAAATCCTGAAAGATACAGCAAGGCCATGAGAGGCCCAAGGAAACCTTAACAAGCAAGATAAGAAGAAGCTGGAATTCACCAAGTTAATGAGAACTGTGGACTGTTGGCAAGCTTTCGAGGTCAAGTTCTCACACCTGTGCTTAACCAATTATGTGTTAGTCGCTAAGGGTCTTCAAGTCATGTATCCAATCATAATATGCCAAATCATTGTAAGTGCATGTAAGAAATAGTATATAAGGGGTTAAGGCTTTGCAATAAACAGCTTTTGTCTGATCATATTGATCTCTGACTCGGTCCATATATTTTCTGCGGCACCATACCCTTAATAACATAAATACTCGTTCCCCAGCCTGGCCTTACTCCTAACCTACTCTCAGCTGAACTACTTGGACCAGGCCACAGACTTGATTCAGTATTTCCAGCTAAGGTAAAGAGAAAGGATGGACAGTAAATGGCTATGGGGGAAAAAAAAAAAAAAAAGGAAAAAAAAGCTACTGAATGTTCCTTAGATGGAAAACACGTTTTTCTGCAATCCAAAATAAACACAATAAATGTAAACCCCATTTTCCAACAGCATTAAAGAGGTAATAAGGATGATCTCAAATAAGCAAGAAGACCTAATTCTCAGCTAGAACAGATCAGAAGAACTATGGCCGTTTCCACCAGGCGAGATCCATCCCTGTAATTTCACAGTTATCACAGCTGAAAATCAATTGTCCTTTCTTGCTGACAGATTTTCTGGCAACCTCCTCCACTGACTATCAGCATTGCTTCCCAGGCCACCTCCCTATAGATTTCACAGCACCTGCTCCCCCCTTCCAAGGCAGGAATACAAAAGTGAGGGCAACCCAGTTCCTCTCCTTGCTTTATAATACTTTATCCTTTTGTTCACAAGCCCAGAATCTACTCTTCAACAGTTAATATCCCTTGTGTTTCCCTTATGGCAGGTGCTTCTAGGAGACTGCTAACAATCACCATGTGTGAACACTCCTTATTCTAAAACGCAGCATGGTGGGGTTGCTTGCTAGATGGTATTTTCAGCTGACTCCCTATCACTTGGGAGGCTCAGTGGAAGAACATTTACTGGCGTTTGTTCAGCGTTGAGCAGAGTTCAACTGCAGATCATCAGTGCATCTACAGCAGAGGATAAGAAGCAGGCTCCCCTCACACCCCATCTTTGGTCTTAAATAAAGAACCACATCGTCTTTTGCAGCTATTACAAGATAGTGAAAGCCCGTTGGTTTTTACTGAGGGCTTCTCAGACCGAAGAGCAGTTGTTCTGGAATCCAACCAACCACTTCTACTGATGACAAAATAAAAGCTGTTACCTGCTGCACAAAAAGCCTCCTTATACCACACTTCCCTCAAAGGAGAGCTATCTCACACAGGTGAAGTGCACCTATAGGCTATGCTCTAAAGCTGCAGAAAGCCAAACCACATCACTAGTCTAGATTCTCTTCAGGGTTTTTAAAGAAGAAAATTCCCACTTTAGGTTACTACTTATTCCAAATGATGAACCAATGCTGTCCAATTTGTAGTTTATCAATACAGCAAACACCCAAATGTATTTTTCTATGTGTATCACAGTATCACAGTATCGCAGTATGTTAGAGATTGGAAGGGACCTCAAAAGATCATCTAATCCAATCCCCCTGCCAGAGCAGGAACACCTGAGGAACTCACATCTCACCTGTAACTCACATCTCAATCTCTGTAAGAAACAGCAGCACTGGGGTGAGTGGGAATGTACTTGAGGGTGAAGAAGAGAACTAGCAAGAGTGAAATAGCCCTGAGATAAATTGCCTCCACTAAATTTCAGTTGGATGTTATTGTCCTTTTTCATTTTGACAGATTATCTGCAAGGTTACATGCATAAAGAAGAAAATAGTTCTGCTATTATCCCACTCAGAGGGATTCAGTTGCACACGTAGAACTATTCAGAACAGTGGCCAAGATAATTTCCTATGGAAAGGAGATGACCATTGACATTACTTTCAGAAATGCCTTTGAGTGGGTTATAGACATGGTTGCTCAATTGTATATTAAGCACAAGTTGTACTGTTTTCATATTTTAGTACAGATTAATTGGATTATCAAAACTTTTAAGTAACACCCAAGAATGGTTGAAGTTCCACCTTATTATTAACTCATTTAGACTACTAAACAAAGATGAAATAAGTGAAATTCAAACTTAAATACAACTGACCTGAGGAGGCACAGATCTTACAACTGCATTCAGGAATGCTATTCAACTCAACAGGAATAAACTGTCTAAACATATTTTTTTCTAAGTCTTGGGCTTAGTGACTCTTCTATGAGTCATTTATTAGCACTCTATAATTTCATCTTCAGCTACAATTACACAGTTTCAGCTACTTCACATGAATAGAGGTTTGCTTTCCTTTCTTCAGGTGTCATTATGGAAGTTTCTTTTCAGAATGGACCCCTCTGCGTAGTTGTAATGTTGAAACATTTAGCAACAGTTCTTACCTTCTGGAAGGATATGATTTTATTATATTCTTCATGCCTCTTATCTAAATATAATCTCCTGTATCATGCAAACAACCAATGAATTGAGAGAGACTGCATTCTCATCCTTCGTATTATCCTACTGGGAGATTTCTTTATATAGGCAAGAACGCAGTTATTGAGGGAGATTATTCCAATGCTCAGCCTGTGCCCCAAGCACCTAAGAATGATCATTCCTCAGGCAATGGAGAGCTGGCCCTAGGTTTAGTTGAAAGAGCTAATCTTGCTTTGAATTCTTCTTCATGGGAAACATGATAAATGTTAGCATCTTCTCCAATAAAATCAGCTTTTCAGCAGCAGCTCTTTGCAGCCTTACACAATTCAATTCTCTTGTGGGTGCTGCTTGGACTGAGCCCAGCTCAGAAGACTTTGGGAGGCATCGACAGAGTTAAATGATAAGCTCAGCTGGGGCAGACACATTCAAGTGAAGCCCCTTCCAACACATGTACTGAGATCATTTCTCTTTTTCCCTGGTAAGTTCAAGGCCAAACAGAAGACTGTTCAAATTCAGTTAGCTACCAAAAGCTGTTAGTTAATTGGTACTGATAGAGACTTCAGACTTTAGTCGATTAGGTCCATGAAGTCATCGTGCAGAGACAAAAAGCCTCAAAAGAAGTTTAAACAAGGGTGTGGATTTTTATGTTTATTTTACCTACTTAACTTAATACTGCCTTTTTCTGTATCATTCCTTACGCTATTTCGATACCAAGGAAGGAAACAGCTTAATGGTGACAAGGACGGGAGTGCATACATTCCCTCCTCATGAAATAGTTAAGACATCCTTACACTCAAAGGTGCTTCTTTATGCCTGAGTGCTCGAAGGGCAAATGTTAAGTCTTCCTAGTAGGAAGACAGGCAATAGGGAACTGTCTTCTTTTTAAAGGATTAACTACAAAGTTGAAGGATGATCCAATCCTTTCCTCTCTCTGCCCTTCTGCTGGTGCTTGTAGAGCTAAAAGCAATTAGAACTGGTGGTTAAAAAGAGAAGGAAGAGGTTACCTGTACTACTTCTTTGACCAGAGTCTTATCGGTCCCAGTTTTGGCTCTCTGCAGGCCACTGACATCCTCTCCAATCCAAGTGATAAGGGCAAACTTGACTCGCTTGCTCATGGCATCGCCGGTGGTGAATCGGACAAAGCCAAACAATCTAACATCATCTGGAAAGACAAAGCAAAAGATAAAATGATTAAACCCAGAAACACCCCTGCTTTGCTGTTTTCCAGGGTGAAAATCGAAGACCAAGCCCAGGCATTGATCCTGTGTTACAATTCCATCATTTGGGATCAACAGGAGCTCTGCTCTTACGGCCTTCGCAGTGGCCATTGTGCAAATCTGATCCTTTCCCCTCCCTCCCTTCTGCAACATTTCTGGCTCACTTGTACTATGAGTATAGAAGGAGGGGAGAAGATGGAGCAAAAGAAAAATCTGCAATTACTTCCCCAGATGTGTTTCAGTGCTGCTTCCAAAGCTCCATGGAGAAAGGCCTTGGATTTTAGATCTGATTCTCTGTTTCACAGCTGGTTTCTGCTATATCACATCAGACTACAGCTGTTTAGCCTGGCCATATGAGTAAAAAACCCTGCAAACTCCTTGACTCAAAGAGTTTATTCCTTCATTCCAGGGTGACTCACCCACTGCAGCATTCGGATGCCTTCATGATCACAGGCCCTTAGAACATCATAGCATCCACTCATATTCATCCACTCATATCCACTCAGTAGCATCACGATGCTGGAGCCTCCAACCAGGATTGTGCAGAAAAGCAGAGCAGATGGACAGTTGTGCAATCATGGAATATACCTAATCATAGCTACTTCATCTGTTACAGGTCACTCAAGACCTTTTAAATTAAAATGACTCAAAAGAGAAGAACAAACTTGCTTTTCGACAAGAATCATGTTAAACCTGGTTACACTTGTTGTGACCAGTTCAACATGCTTTATAGTTACTTAACTTGCTGTCTTGATTACTGCCAAGTGAAAATGAAAGCTCCAGGTGTAGTAACATTCACCCATCCTTGCCTCCATTACAGAATGCTCCATGAACAGTCAGGACAGCCCCAGGACCTCTGGGGAGAAGCAGCTCTAAATTGCTCACCCCCCTCCAGAAAATAAGCTGCTAGAAATCAGTGCAAAAAACCCCAAAGTGGGATGTTCTCTGAAAGCTGACAGATCCCAGAGCTTATTTAGTACTTTGTTTTGTCAAAATGTGAGTAAAGACAACTTCCCCTCGATAAAAGGTAAGATGTTTTTAAGTCTGGGAAAACAAATCTACCTATGCTCTCTCTATTTTGTTCTGTTTGCTTCTTTGCCACTGACAGAAGACTACTGAGGAAAGTTGGAAGACAGACATAGGGGGGTGTGTGAGCCAGTTCAGGGTTTGAAACAAACTCCCCTGAAGACTTCAAATTTGAATCAAGGAGAAATCTCACTCAAAGGAAAAATCCATATGGAACTTTGAAAGGAGAGTAAGAATCGTGTGTATTGACACTGCAGGCAAACACAGCCTCTCTCTCTGATACCTGTTACTGGCAACAAGAAACACACAGAGAGACTCCTGTTTCTGACAGTAAATCCTCTTCCCAAGATTGATTAGAACCATAAATGAACCGACAGCCAGGAAATACCCAAGGTGAAGAGAGGCAGTAAATCCCTTAACGTTACTATGAAAAAACCTTGCTTTCCCAGATCTGACAGCAAAGGAGGCCACGCTCTGCTAAGAATTGTGCTGTGGTTCCCAGGGGAACACAGTGCTGGAAGGCACTTTAATGTCATCAAGTCCTGGCCCCTACTACACTGTAACCATGTCACAGACCTTCCCGTGGACCCGTCACTTTACACCTTGAGTATTTAGGTGTTTCATCCCTGCCCCTTCTGCCAAAGCGTGTTGCACATCCTGAAGAGGGTTCTTTGGAATATGCCTCTTTATAATAAAGATAATGCAAAAAAAATAATGAATGTGAAAAAGCAGTGCTTTTTCACAACAACATAGAAAGCAAGTTAAAGGAATTTATCTGTCAGCCTGAACTTTAACTTGACATGGACACACAGATCAGTGACAGCAGCAGGATTTGCTTCTCAGCAGAAGTTTTACTGCTTCCCCATCCTGTCTGAAAGCAGCTTGATCAAGAGATCCAGTTCCACATGGGCTTTTATCTATTAGCTCACCCACTACTCAGTGACTATGAGCAACTCTTACTTCATACTGAGTAGCAAGAAGTTTAACAAGCAACTGAGGTTAGAAGTGAGGCTCTGAGTCACTGTCTTGAGCAGAATTTACCTGGGGCTGGTTTACCTGTGGGGGCTTGAAAGGTTACACCCAAGCTGTGTGCCTTCTCCTCCTGTTTCCCCATGGAGGCTGTATCCCCACAGTAGGCAGAACACTCTTCAGCTGCCGCAATTTTCATTCAACGTACTTAATATAAAGTACCAATATGTGATGCTTTAACGTGAGGAGAATTTCAGCAGCTGCAGATAAAGCCAAGAGGGAGTGTGAACTGGAGCCCTTAGCAATTAACATGCCTAGTTTCCTAAAAAGGCCACAAGGACAGATGTGGAGGTTTTTAGCAGTAGTTCAGCCTGAGTATGAGCCCCTCCAATTGCAGGTCAGAATCCCTGAGCAGAAGTGGTTGAGTTTCACAATTAGTCTGAAGCGTGTTCAGAGTGATAACGGTATCAAAACCCAAGTTCTTTTATACTCCCAGATTTACTCTTTCACAGCTAATCAGTTCCACCCTGCCAATCACATCACTGCGCTGGAAGTCATCAGTGCCATCAGTGCCAACTCCCCTAGAAGTATCAAGGCATTAATACCCACCCCTCCTTTTCCACATAAACCCACTTCTAGTGGGTTTTAGGAATTTGCTCTGTGTGTGTGTGTGATAGATCATAGAGAGACAGTAGATTTCCTCTGAAAGAGGAAATCCTGCCTAGCTCTACACAACCACCATCCTAGTCACTAAGCCATGAATTTCAAGGCAGAAAGAAACAAATAACAGGTCTGGGTAGAAGGGAAATAACAGCTTTATTTGAGCAAACAAAGAGCAGAAATTAACAAGGTTAATTCCTACTAATAGCACTACTCCTTTAACCATGGTTGTACAGCATGATGAGGCTATACAAACAACTAAAAGTACAATGAATGCCTTAATGAGCATCACTTAGTACTTTTCTCCAAACCCTTTACTTATCGGTGGGCAGGATTTTCCAAATATACTGACTAAGCTGCCCTTGGCTGTCAACACAGCTCGATGCCAAGCTGCAGAGATTTCCTTGGTGGTATTCTCCACTTTCTCATCCACTCAAACCTTTTGGTTCGGCCGTACTAAAAAATTCCCCATTAGATTAGAATGCCTTGACTCACCAGTAAATAGCTGCAGGAAAGAAATACAGTCAAAAGCTTCATGGTTCTTAGTATTATAGCTCTGAATGGCCAAGCCAGGGACGTGCTAAGAGAAGGCCACTGCTCCCAGCTTCACCTGCTTGCCAAATCAAGGTCACGTACAGCAAGGCAGCTGCTGGAATGATCTGCTTTTGTGTTGTGTCCAACAATGAGTTGGTGATAGTGCATGACAGGTTTCATGAGGATTTATGTTGTTTCAATTGAATTCATTTTAGATTAATTTGTCAATTTCCACCTTGTCAGTCACCCCTGTAGTCACATGCCTGGAAGTGCAGACAGAAAACCTCCCCTAACTCTCACTACACTGGTTTTGACCTCTTTAACCCTGTACTGAAGCCTGCATCTGTGATGCAGTGCTGCTTTGCACTGTGCTGACATGTTCATTGGGTCATCTGAGACAAGTACAAGATGTTTGACCTCAGGACCATAACCCCAGGACATGCTGTAGCTGGGGCACCCAACCTTTTGCATGTAACTTGGGGTGGCTGACAGGGTACTCAGGGTACGAGAGCACAGGGAGGATGACCCTATGCTGACTTCTCCAGCTCTTCCTGCTCCAGAGGAACCACAAGCAGTGCTTCATCTGAATGAATCACTGCTACCCCAGTGGCACTGGTCTTGTAGTGGTCTCTCTCCTGGCCTGGGTATGTACTGGAGGGCAGTGGGAGGAAACAGGGCATCCAGCTAAATTTTGTTCTCCTTTCCTGAAGGAAAGAACAGTTGTTTTGGTTGGCCAGAAGTAAGAGCCAGGCAAGCCCCCCCCAAAAAAAAGCATGCAAAAGGTCTACTGCTACTCTTTACCTGCTACTGTCTAGCACAGGATGGTAAATGCAGACCCACAGCCATGTTAGTTTGGTCAAGCATCACAAAACTAAACTGAACTAAAGCAAGAGCTACTATTTCAGTGAGGAACTCCACCCGATGAGCTGCTATCACAAAAAACTGATGAGAACATTCCCTGAAACAACCTACTGTCCACTGCAAGGGACAACCTAAGCCACAGGTCAAACTGGCAGCCCAGAGATCACTGTCAAACACATGCCACTTGAGCTGAGCCTTCCAAGAGCACAACTTCTACAGCAAGCAGGGAGGGCACCAGAGCAGGGAAACACTGCAAAGACAGTGTGAAATTCCCATAAGCCACTCATGGCCCCAGGTCTTCCTTTATAAATAGGTATTAAGGGAAAGCAGGCAAGACCCACATTAAAGAGGAAAAACAAAAGCAGTAGGAGACTGATTTACAAAGCCCATTTTAGCAACTTAAGATGTTGCCAAATGCAGATAATCACCTATCTCATTATACTTCCTCCTGCATTTTTACAAATCTTTCCTACAACTTAAGGTGCCAACATACTCTTGGTGATCGCTCCTAAACTTTGTATGCAGGCCAGGCCTTATACGACAACTGTCATACGCCCAAAAGAGCTTGCATTTATCTTCAGAACCAATTTTATTTCTATTTCCTTCCCAATATTTTATGTCAACCAGAATTTATTTTATAGGGTATTTATTTTAGACCAAAGATTGTCAGTTCTTCCTCGTGCTGAATGCACAGTGTGGTTTTGGTCTGATCTTTTCAGACACATGAATAACTATCCCATTTCATGCTGTCACTGCAATTATTTATCTGGACTGAGGCTTTCCAAATAAAAGGCTCATTATTTCTTTAGTCAGAGATGCATTGGAAAAACAACTGTTCACATGTGGCATGGGGGGGGAAACAGAGCCTTCCAACCTCTCCATTACTTGATTCCAGAATGCACACTTCTAAAACAATAAACCACAGACAGACACAACGCATTGCTCTGCTGCTTTATAATACGGAAACTGAGATATAACTGACACACACACAAGTTTAAGTAGGTGTTTCTGGACAGACTTTTAGTTCAGTACCTCAGTTGACTGTCACTGTACTCTTCTCAGTAACAGCCCAGCTATGAGACTTTGAAAGTAAACACAACAACAAAAATAACCCAAGACCCTTCACATCCTTCCGTACAATAACCTTCAACTCTTATCAGTGATTCTGGATTCAAATCCACCAGCTCAGCTCTTTAGGGTTTTTTTTAAGTGTACTGATGGCACGTACTACTAAGCACCAAAGTAATGCTACATCTGGATCTGTGCCATCTGCAGAGGCAAGAGCTGTAACTGTGAAGTAAAATGGATCAAAAGCCTCGAATTAAGTCCTTGTTTAATGCAGAAGGAATCTGTGCTGTTTAAACCCAACCCAGGCCAGAAGACACAGGGGGTGTCTATACTGTGTGTTTAATGACCTTGACACAATTAATACCCTCAACTTTAGTCTCCAGAATCTTTGGGTCAGACAAAGGCCAATACAGTCACATGCACTGGTCATTACACAGGACTGCAAGAAGTGCCATCTGCAGCCACCTCCCAATCACATAAGGACTTTACTGTGCCAGTGGTTTAAGCCAGCCTCCTTGAGTTTACTTTAGGACTGGCTGGAGAAGAGGTGTTCACACACCTGTGGCTGGTGTTTGGATGGCAGAGAAGACTAAAGCAGTCTCCTACCTCCCAGCCAAGGTGCCTTATGGCCTGACACAGACCTGGACAGCAACAGCACGACAGCAACTGATATGCAGAAGTCCAGGGTTCAGGCTGTGTTTGCAGAATCATCCTGGGTGATAAAGAAGCTCTTCTCACTGTGTTTTCTTCCTTTAAGAGTGGCAATTGCTGTCTCCAAACAGTGGAATATGAGGAGGACAGTCTGCTTATGTAGACCCTTAAACTTTTCTGCTAGTACACAAAGCTTAGTGAATAACTTAGGGAGAAAAAGCCTCCACCCCAGGGTACGCTACATGTGGGTCTGATGTGCAAGGTGTACCTGAGAGCAGAGCAGGGAGAGTGATGAAGCCTGCCCAAGGCACTCTGCAGCAGTTCCTGGCTCAGGGGATGGTCCTCACTGCCCCAGGAGCCCAGCAACTCGGGCTGTCGCTTGTTCCCCCAGTGGCAGCCTGCAGAGCCTCGCTGGAGGCTTGCAGAGCCTGTTCTAACACGGTCCTTTTGAACTGCTACTTCCTTTTAAAGAAGCAATTTCAGTTTCTTGCTTTTCCCTTTGTCCTCAACCACCCTCATTCCCCGAGGAGGTTTGCAGAATCAGCAAAGGGCCGGGCCATGGTCTGCATCACAAGGGTTATGTATGGGGGGAAGAAAAGGCAAAAGTACAGGCCAGCTAGCGACAACCCCCTCCAGGCCTTCCTAACCTCCCTTGTTGCACAAGGCAGGTTCTCCACCCCAGGCAAATGTCTCCCAAACTGGTACAAAGACCTTCTTGGTCTCAAAGCCACAGGAATTAGCACACACTGACACTGCCTGCTCTGTAATTTAATGCCCTGGAGGGGAGCAATATGTACCACATGCCAAAGGTGCTTTTAATAAGAATGGTTATTAAGGAAAGCAGGGGACACAGATGTTTGCTACTCAGAACAGCACTGAAATAGATGGTGCAGAAAGTAGAACAGAGCAAGCCTGATGGAGGGGCCTGGTGACACTTCACATGCTGAGGTTTTCAACTCCAGCTCCAGCTCTCACCTTCAAGCACAAAATTAGGCCCAGCTTCCACCAACTGCAGTGTTCTGTGGCTTTCAGTGCAGTGTTTTTCACAAAACAGAAATACAAAACAAGGACGTTTATTCTGATAATGTTTTTTTTTTTAATCTGCTAATCACATTGTCTAAAGCTGTTTGCACTGACAGTAGCTCTTGTCCCCTCAGGGAATGCGTATGAGATGGGGTGTGAGCCAGGAAGGGACAGGACCAATAGGAAGGGATAATATTTAGCTTCTCTTCCCATCCCTTCCTACTCTTTATTACTGACTTTGTTTCAGTAGAAATACTCAAACACCCTCCTTCATAGCAACATTTGGAACCTTTCTTCCAGATGGGAAGGAAAGCTCTAACTTCACTGCCGGCACATGCCTTGTTTTGTGACTGTGTCTAGTGGTCCAGGAGAAGATGCTGCAACAAATGGAGGCACTGAAACTTGTGTCTTTTGCCTCCCCAACTGCTGCACCAGGTTCCTGGGTGGAGGAAGACCCTTTCCAGCGCTCAGCCAAGGGCCCAGTACCTGCCTTTGCCTCCAGCAACTGTGCTCCAGAGGTAGGTTGAGAAGAACCTCTTGCCCCTGGTCTGCCAAGGAACAGCCTCTACCAGGTGCATGAGAAGGAACAGAGAAAGAAGGGAAAGGAACAGAGAGCAAAGGAGCAGCTATAAGGGATTTAGTTCCACGTTAAAGGTTAAGAACAGGTCACCATCAACCCCACAGATGCTGTTCTAACTCTTCCATTTCCATGCTTATGCCTAAAATATGCAAAAATTACTTTTTGCTGTAAAAATGCTTCAGTACTGGGCCAGCTTGGCACTTTGCTGGTATAAAACAAGTTTTCCTTAAATTGTGTTTTAATACCCTGTTTATAAATAAGGGTTTGGCACATGAAAACAATGGCAAGAAGACAAAACTGGCCATATTCCACAGTTCAGTATGTGCCTCCATTAGTTGTTATATGCCTCCCACCCAGCCCAGCCGGTGCCTGCTCTTTGCCTACTTAGTCTATTGATAAAATTATTCCCTTGATACAGAAGGGAAGATAGGAACTGTTCTTGAGAGTGTGCCACTCCAAACAAAACATTAAAAACCTGTTCAAACAGAATAAGATATGGAGTCTTTATTTTCTGTCCTTAAAAATAGGGAGAGAAAACAAATGGCAACGGTTCCTCTGCAAGCCTCCGATATCTCGAGATGCTGTTATTTTGTCTGCAAGAGGAGACAGAGAACCTTGGCACTTAGATACTGAAAGAAAACTGCTAACCCTTTAGCTAAGGTTGGTGTGAGCATCAGAAGTGCTGAGCCCTGGATATTTCCCTGTATGCCAGGTAATACTTCTTTCCCATTTGTTGCCCATTAAAAAGAGTTGAGTGGGAAGCAGTTCTTGCAGGACAGGGCATCAGCTCTTCTGACATCAGCTACAAGAGCATTCTTTTTTGTTCTGAGTATCTCCCCTGCCAAGGTCTCAAGTAGGTGTGTTAATCCCAGTAAGACCCCACTGCAAATGCCATAGCAGAGCAGTCTAAACCGTCTTGATTTAGTGGCTGCTTTCCAAGGACTAGAGTGTATTTTCCTCCTGTGATATTTATGGGCTGAGCAGACTGGTCCTGCCCTCACTGAAGTTAGTGGGAGTTCTCCCCTTCACCTCAGTAAAATACAGCCAAGCCCTAGGACTCGACAGACCAAACCTGGACAGGGCGCTGGTGTTGCAATGGCTGTGGTACTTTTGAGTGCAGTGCTTCGGGACTCACCCCACGTTGAGAAGGGAGAGACTGCTCAGCACACAACTCCTCACAGTACAGATACATAAAGCACAGGTTAACCACAACACTTGATTGCGGAGAAGCTCGATGAGGGAGGAAAGCTTTGTTTTAGTCCAGTATTAGTTACAAACACTTCATATCTCATGCCACTTTATGACATTGTTAATAGCAGCCAAGGCAGGAGCACAAGCTATACAATCCCCCCCTCCCCAGTAGTTACTTTGAGAAAAATCACAGCCCACTTTTATAAAACACATTAAAAGTTAAGGTCGGATGAAGTTAAATATTCCCCAGTTTATTTTCATTTTCCCCAGGCTTTGTTTCTCCTGTTAATGTTCCACAACCAACAGTTCAACAATCAACTGCCACGTTTAAACCCAGAGCCACAACTGTTGCGGCTGTGCAACGCCACAGACACGACTGTTTTCAGGGCTGTGTTGTTCGAGCTGACCTTCGGCAAAACCACTCTCTTCTTGGGTTTAATGTTCCTAAAAGACCCAAGCGAGCCTTCTAACTGCAGCTACTTCAGCGCTATGAACACAGAAGAGTTCTATTGCAAAATGATCTGCATGCCTGCATCTTTTTACCCACAAAAATGGAGTCTCTTTTGCTTTGGAACGGCAGCACTGACCAAGGAGACCGATGCTAATCAAGTGTTTTATCTTGCTTACAAATGAGAAGCGAATTAAAACTGCAAAGGGGAGGAAAGAGCCCAACAGACCTGAAGTTAAGGGTGAGACAAAGGACAGGCAGGACGGTGGACTTCAGCGAGTTGCACTCGGTGGCGGCTGGAAGCCCACCGTGTAGGACAGCGCAGACGCGAGGAAGCAGCACCTCTAATTCCAGTTTACCCAAGTTTTTCCCCATCCTTTCCCCCCTCCCTGCACCAGGCAGACAGCAAGATGAAAAGGTGCTAAAGGGAATTAAGACAGCTTACCCGTGCACTTCCTTTTAAAGGTTTCATAGTCTACCCCTTGGTCTCCGGGGACGATGGTAGAGCCGTTGTATTTAAAAGTCACCCTTTGGGAAGGGGAAAAAGAGAAGGGGAGTGATACGTTTAACGGTCAGCCTTTGGGACGGGGCAAAGGGAAGGTGAATAATTCATTTAAGAGTTAGCCTTTGGGAAAGTGGAAAGGGAGGGGGAATAATACATTTAACAGCCTTTAGAAAGGGGGAAGAGGAGATCGGGAAGAATACACTGAAACCCGTCCTTTGGGAAGAGGGATGAGGAGAACGTCTATCAAAGTCACGCTTTCGGGAGGGGGTAGAGAGAAAGGCACCGAGCACCGTGCTCACTTACCAGTTCACGTTGGTGGCATCGTCCCTGACGAGGTTGTACGCCTCCCTGCACGCCTCTTTGTCGATTTTGGTGGCCATGGGACCGTCTGTGTTGGGGAGGGGGGGAGAGCAGGGCGAGGAGATGAGCGGGGGGGATCCGCTGCTGCTGCTAGCGCTGCCGCTGCTGCACCGCACCGCACCGCACCGCACCGCCCCGCGCAGCGCCACGCAGTGCCGAGCCCGCCGCCGCCGCGGACCGCCCCGCTGCTACCGGCTGCCAATGGCTCCGCGCCGTGCGCCGGGCCGGGCGGGGCGGCCGGGGTGATGCAATAGGACGGGGACGGGGACCGGGAGGTAGTGGGGGGGCACCCGCCGCAGGGATGCGCTGTACTGGTATTGCTGCAGCCCCCCGATGTCTCTGCAGCCCCTGACGGCCCGGACGAGCAAGGGGCGAGAAGCGATGCGCAAGATGCTGCAGCCGCCGCGGGCGCGGCGGGGCCGGGAGCCGGGCCGGGCGCACGGGAGGTAGCCGAGCCGGACAGCAGGTAAGAGAGCGGCGGGCGAGGGGATGCACACGGGGACCGTGCTAACGGCAGGGCCGAGCAGTGTGAGTGAACACTGCCCCGCCGCGGGAGCCGGGGACCGCTCCGGGCTCCCTACACCGCCGGCGGGGGCCGTGTGGGGGACACTGTGGGCTGTGACAGTTCGCTATTGCCCTGGCTCCGTGTGTGTGTGTGTGCCGGGGTGTGTGTGCTCACGCCGTTTGAGATGCAGCGGTCTCCCCCTACCGGGCTGCTCCTCGGCTCTGCCAGCTGGAAACACGATATCGAACCCAAGTCAATGCGCTTAGGAGGGTTCATGCAGTAGGAGAAGGGATGCTTGTAAGATCAGTCCTATGTCCGCAGAAACAGAGGCATAACGTTGCAGAGCTCAGCTCGGAACAAATGTCACCGGCTGCTGTTGTGGCCAAGGATTAGAGTTTTAAACACCAGTCCCTGTGTGTGTTGGTGGGCTTCTACCTTAAACCAGGGAGCAGCGCATCACAAATTTAATAAAAACCACATTCCAGGATAGAAAAGTATCACTTTTTTGTTGTTCTTCTAAAGTTTGCAGTGAGATGGTCATTATTTACTTCGCATCAATATGTTGTAAATGCAAAGCCTGAACATGCACAGCTCCTCGGTGCTCTCAGACATCCCAAGGAACGAGATAGCCCAAGTGTGAGTTAAGCACCAGGCACACCATTTACTGCTGTACAACACAAAGCCCTAATTCTGAACATGGCTTATTCCTGAATGACGTGAGGTTTCCAGAGCATAAGGGCTCAAAACATGAGCGTGTTGCTGCAGTGCATCTCTGTGGTGTAGATGAGGTCATAGGGAAGGGAGAAATATCCCTGAAGTCAGTACAAGGGTAGGACTTGGTGAATCATGCCCAAGACTGAAGGCTGTGGATGACAATATAATCACACATTAGTAGTTCTGAATTTCTATTGATTTTCTTTTGGACCTGCCTTTAGGAACACTTTTTCTTCTTTTAAAAGCCTTTACGCTGACCATTATCTGCTCATAAACATATTTCATCCCCTGTAGTCACCATTTATCATCCCTTTGGCACCACCTTGCTGCTGTAAAACGGGTTGTCCTTGGCCTTTCAGGCTTGATCCTCAGCTCCAGATGTTCCCTAGGGTAGAAGTGGGTGGCTGAAATGTCATTTCCCTTAAAAGGAGAAAATCTGAACCTTGTTTAGGTCTCTGTGACCCTGTGGTTTGATTTATATTTGCGAGGAACTTCATGCCTGATGCTCTTGTGCCAGATTCAAGCCTCAGAAACATGTGCCTTCCCTCCCTTTTCTTCTTTGTCTTTGACACGTTTTCATTTGTCTTTTAATTTTCCTTTTAATTTTTACTTTTTTATTTTAATTATTTTTCTCTTAATGCATGGAAGAATAAACACTTCACTAGGTTTCATCAGGCTGTAACTGGAGAGGGGGAAATACCTACTTTTCTGGCTTTGGTGAGTTCTGATTTGCTTTTCATATACTCATCTTTTTGCTTTTCACATAGACCCACCTTTTGCTTTTCATATAGACCCATCTTCTGCATATGGGTCTTTCCATCCTGTGTCACCGGCAGAAGCATCTTTCCATCTCCCAGGAGTCCTCGTAGAGAAAGCACAAATAGAGAAAGTGAAAGGACTAAAAGAGGACTTGTAGACTTTCTCAAATAGCTACCTCCAGCACTATTAAGCCTTGGATTTCTGAACTGACATTTAGCTGTCTAGATTGCAGTAATGACGTTCTAGAAGGGTCTCAGAGAGGGAGCTGAGCAAACAGGATGGCTCTGCACAGCCACAGTGCCCCAGGAGGCTTAGCTGTCCTCCTAAAATACATTGCTAGTGCCTTCCTCCTGTGGCTCTTTGCCAGAACACCTTTTTTCTGCCTTTCTGATCTTTCCATACGGCTGTCCCCGGTCCTGCTTCTCTATCCGTGCCTTTTCTGTGCAGAGAAGATAATGGAGAGAATAATACTTTCTCTTTCAGGAAGGGCTGCTGTGAAAATAGGGCTCGCAGTCAGCATTAGGGATGTCAGCCAGGTAGGTTTTGGACTTGAGGGTCTTTATCCTGGGTCCGAGCTGGGGTGTCCTTGGTGGCAGCAGAGAAAGCTCGAATACATACAGAGTCTTGCTGTCCTTACAAGGGTCATCACTGCTGGGTTAACAAAGGGGTATTTACTTGTGTTGTGGAGACCTTTGCACTGAAATGGGTCTCGGTGGGGTCCCCATACAAACGCTTTGCATCTTACTTCACGCAGAAGGCGCTGTACCATGAGCCCTGCTATTCACCAACGTGTTTTTAACTTGTAACCCCGCTGGGCCCTAATGAACGAGACAAAGCCGGGCAGCAGCAGACACTGCAGCAGCGGTGCCGGCTGCAGGCTGCGCCGGTCCGACAAGCTTCACACCCAGGTAAAGCAGACGCGATGGCAGCGGGCTGCTCGCTGTGCCCTTACCACACGCCCCGCCGCCCCAAGAGAACACCACATATAGCTCTGCCCCACAGCCCAGCCGCCATTTGCTGCCAGCGGGGTCACCTCCCCCGGCCCCGCTTCCCGCCCCGCCTTGGCCCCGCCCCGCTCCGACCGGCGGCATTTCCTGTGCCGGCCCTGAGGGGAGGGTGCCCGGTGGTGCTGCTGTGGGTCCTCCGGTCCTGCTCCTGCTGCGAGCCGGCTCCGAGGCGCCTTCCCCCGGGCGCTGCCGCTTGGTTCCGCTCCCTCGTTTCCACCCCGGTGGACGCGGCTGCCGCAGCGCGATGAGGATGCGCGGCCGGAGCCGTGCCGGAGGTACCCGGGGCCCGGTGTCGGCCGGGGGTGAAGCGTGTCCTGGCTTGGCCGTGGGAGGGAAGCGGTACTGCCTCTGCCCGCTGTAGCGAGCACTGGTGAGTAAGCGACTCCATCAGTCGTACACGCGGTGGTCTTTGGTTATACCCCAACAGCCAACTTGTTGACACAACCGAGCATTAATAACACCACCATGCAGCGATAAAACCATCCTGTTTTTAACTCGGATTTTCAGGTTAGGGTGTGCACGCCTTAACTCTGTTATTTATTCATCACGCCGTGGTTTTAGCAGCCTGGAAGGATTGGTATGCTGCTAACGGCTTTGCTTTCGTTGCAGAAGTGCTGCGGAGCCGGCTGTCATGGAGGGAACCAGGCAAACCAGGATCTGTCGTCCGCACAAGATAAGCGAGTCCTCGAAGGTTTGTATGTTTTGTGTTGCAAGAACCCCCTCCAAATTACACAGATAATAAGAAGGAGTGTGTGTGTGTGGAGTAAAGGCTGTTCCTTGAAATATTTCGGAGGAATGTGGCTATTGAGAGGTTTAAAAAGGGGTATGAACATCGTGATCTGCTTGCTCAAATATTTTGGTAGAAAAAGTTGCTACCCAGGGATTTACCAAAAAAAAAAAAAAAAAGAAAAAAGGAAAGATCAGCAGCAAATGGGCATCTGCTCATCGTGACTCATAACTCAGAAAAGAAACCCACATCATCGCAGCACGGTGTTTTCGCTGCATCAGAAATTCAGTCATTGAAGGCAATGCGTTTATTTTGGGGATTTTTCGCACTGATCCATGTCACAAAGTCCAGGCAAGACACAGAGGCAAAGCTGGGATTGCTCTTTAGATTTGGGTGCAGATGAAATTGAGTCTAGATCCTGCAAATAGGGGTTATTCCAGTGAACTCAAGATGTTTTCTTCAAGTTGTGAAGCTGATTTGCTTTGCATAGCATCTCTGTCTGCACAAGTACATTGATTTTGGTTGGGAATCCACAGAAGTCCACCTTAGGCAGGCCTTTATGCAGGTCACAAGAATGATGGCCTAAGGCATATAAGATGTTAATATCAGCTGCAATTATTATGTTCACTTTGTTTCATGCCATTAGAAACTGCTTTGCTATTCTGGGGTGAGCAGTAGGTTACAGAAGCTGCAGAGCAAGTACCTTGCACTACCAACAGCTAGAAAAGAGAAACTTTCAGTGCCTGTATCTGTCTTACAACAGCTGAGTGAAACAAACCTCATTTTCTCTTGCATCACTGATGGGTAGTGGTACTGCATTAACGATCTGAAAGAAATTAGACCTTTGAGTCTGAAAAGAAGTTAAAGCACTGCTCTGATACAATGGATAAAAGGTAAACGGGGCTAATTTTTAAATGCATCCATACCAGTGTAATCTGTCCTTGAGCGCTGATCCTGTCTGCCATTTAAGTGGTTTAGACTGAATGTAATAATAATTCACTGCATTAAAAATTAATTAACTAGACAGCATTGTTTTATTTTCTTGCTGAGACAGCAGCTGTCACTATCTGTTAAACTTAGAATTACTGGATAAAGCTAAAGCTGTTCTACAGAATATAAATAGCTTGAGAAAGATGTTCATGTTTAGTATAAAACTAGTGTGGGTTCTGGAGCATGTAGCTTTCAGCTTCTGTCACTTGCTCACTGAACAAATGAACTTGGTAAGAAGCTGAAACATGCTAATGTATTCTGAGGCCATCCAGCACCATGTATCATGATTTAATGCTTGATTCCTGAAGTAGCAGCAGTTCTACATGGTAACAAGGCTTTTAGGAGGTCAAGTTATCAGGCATATTGTTTGTGAAAAGGATGATGCTGCTGACTCGACATCCAGCCAAGTAAATGGGGCTCTCTGGCAAATTTCATGTTCTGGTATAATCTTGTTATGCATGATAGTGTATTAAGAGAATATTAGAAATGATCAGCCTATTTCCAGAGACGAGAGGGAATATGTAATCCAATAACTGTCCTCCAGGAGGCAGATGCACAACAGGGTGCTGTAACATGTTAGTTATTGTCTGTTCATCCACTGTCCTATACCATAGTTGCCACAGATCAGTGGTTTGTCCTTTGCCATATTTATTATTCTTCCCATCTCCTCCATCCCCTCGTCTCTGCTTCGGCTCCTGTATGATACCACCTCTTCTCAACCTCAAAAAATGAAGGTAAAATACTTTACAGTCCTTAAACCCCATATTTTTTTCTGATACAGATGTCTGTCAGTTTTACTCCTCAGTCAAAGTTACTTTGTTGTTTATCCCATAAATCCCTTTTTAGGTTCAGAGATTTGATGAGGCAATGAGTATATGGCAAATTAAAAAGATTTTGTCCAGGAAACTTATAATTATTGAAGCCTTGTCACTTACATTGGTGTAACTCTCTACCATTGCATGTACGAAGCTACTCCAACAGAAGGCTTTTTGGCAGCTTGGTCTCCATTGTTTAGAGAAGAGCATAAGCAAAACTAACTGGGCTGTCATGCTAGCAGCAGCACATTTGGTTATTAGTCTGGATCTCACCACTGGTGGAATGCCTGTCACTGTACCACCGACTGCTAAAAGACAGACATAAGAGGTGAGGCTCCCAATGTTGGTGTTAGCTCAGGAAGATTGGCTGCCATCATGTCTGGCCAGTGGTGAGCTGCGTGCCTCAGTCCTGGTTATCTCATCAGATAGAAGCACAATTACCAAATTATATACACAAAGCATGTATCTCAAGCAAGGGTTGCATGCAGGGGAGGAACCATGGCTCTATAACTTGAACCTTTCCCACCCACGTGGGTAGGAGGTTGTCTCACTGTGTTTAAAGGAACCCATTAATGGCTTAGCCAGACAGCAGTAATCATGTGCTTTCTGCTTGGGAAACCAGGAAAGCCACAAATAGTTAAGGGCTTCTAGGAGAAGCAACAGTTTGGTGAGGGAAAGATTGAATGCCTGAGAGCCTTGGAGAGACCTCAGGTCATCTGTGTGACGGTTTGCCATGTAGATATGGGCTGAGGTGACTTTCAGGATGTCACTTCAGGGAATGCAGCCTGAGGGTATAGAACTGGACAAGAGCCAGGGTCTTAAAGCCAGAAGTGTTCAGAGCTAACTTAAAGATGTGCTTCCTTTCCACCTCCTTTCGTTTCTCTTGCATGTTCTTACAGGCTCTGCAACTCTGCCTGGTTTGGATTTGGTAATTAAAGTTGCGTATTTGCATTTAACTTAACCTGAATTTTATTAAGAGAGATCACAAGGTAGCTGACAGTACCATCAAGCATTCCATTCCTCTGGAAGGAAGGCCCTAAAAGCTGCATTGCCTGACATACTGGGGTGACCAGCCCCTTCAGTACGTGTTCTGCAGGACATTCAAGGGGTAACAAAACATTTCCATTTTGGTTCTTCTGAAGACTAGTAATGCGAGTCTGTGAGAAGGAAGCAAACACTGTTTGCCTCAAAAGCTCTGTGGCACATACAGAGTTGGTGGAAAGAATGTCTGGACCAGAGGCATCCCATAGGGACACTTAATGGGCATGTTCTGGGGGCATTTTCCCCTTTCCTTAAAAGAAAAATACTTAGTTTTTGTTTTAATGAATACGATTGCCTTGGCTTCTGGAAGCAAGTAGAAGTCTTATGGGAATAAGTTATCCACATGTGTGGCTTTGCACATAAATAAACAGCTACTATTTTTTAATGCAGTGTGTGTGCCTGTAATAACACAGAAAAAAAAGAGGGATTTTACCCTAGCAAACTTGAAAATGCAGAGTTCTGAAAAGATTTAAGAGGGGGTAGCTGTCAAACAAGCATTAGCCCAAACAATGCATTTAGCGAGTAACCAACTTGAGAAGAACTCTGTAAGGAGTCATTTGGGGGACAAGTAAGAAAGGAAATGTCAACAAGATGTCTCAAAGACAATGAGTGGAAGAGTTTCAGAAAACTGTGCCTGTATAAATCATCAGGGAAGAGGTTTAGATGCAGCACTGTGGAGGAGGTGGGAGTAAATTATATATATAAGGGGAGTAGGAAGCAGTGAAAGTCTGCATAGGCCTTTCAGAGTGAAGGTGAGGGGGCTTGGGTGCTCGTACTATGTTGCTTGCCAACTGCTTCAATCAGAATCAGAAATGTGCATCACGAAGTAAGCTTTCTTGAGTGATTTGATGGGGAGATGCTTTTGTACACACTGAAGTTTATCTTTATGATGATAACACCCACCTAATAGTGTTTGTTCATTCCAGGTGTACAGGTGGGATGACCACTCCAGTCTGGTTCTTCAGAGCCTGAATGAGCAGAGGCACCGAGGCCTCTTCTGTGACATTGTCCTCGTAGTGGATGAACAGAGAGTCCCTGCCCATCGGAACCTCCTCGCTGTTTGCAGCGACTACTTCAATTCTATGTTCACCATTGGTATGAGAGAAGCCCACCAAAAAGAGGTAGAACTTTTTGGAGCCTCTTACATTGGACTTAAGGCTGTAGTAGATTTCCTTTATGGCAGTGAGCTATCTTTGGATGGAGGCAATATCGACTATGTGCTTGAAACAGCTCACCTGCTGCAGATCTGGAAGGTGGTCGACTTTTGCTGTGAGTACCTGGAGAATGAAGTCAGCGAGGAGAACTATTTGTACCTGCAAGAGCTGGCCTCTATTTACAACCTGAAGCGCCTTGACTCCTACATTGACTCTTTCATCCTGAAGAACTTTGGCACGCTGTCTTTCACTCCGGACTTCCTGCAGAACATTTCCTTGCAGAAGTTGTGCCAATACCTGAACAGCAGCAATGTGCAGCAGGAGTGTGAGCACGATTTGCTGCAGGCTGCCTTGCAGTGGCTTACCCAGTACCCGGAAAGGGAGAATGAGGCTTACCAGGTTCTGGATAACATTCATTTTCCTTTGATACCTAAAAGTGATCTCCTCCACCGAGTCAAGCCTGCTGTCTGCTCTCTTCTTCCCAAAGAAGCAAACTGTGAGGGGTTCATAGAAGAGGCAGTGCACTATCACAACAATGTCACAGCTCAGCCAGTGCTGCAGAACAAGCGGACAGCCCTGAGGACCTGTGAGGAGAGGCTCCTCTTTGTAGGTGGGGAGGTTTCGGAGCGCTGCTTGGAACTGAGTGATGATACCTGCTTCCTGGACACAAAAAAGGGGCAGTGGGTAGCAGAGACCCCTCTCCCAGCCAGACGAAGTCACCACTGTGTCGCAGTCTTGGGAGGCTTCATCTTCATAGCTGGAGGCAGCTTTTCAAGAGACAATGGAGGGGATGCAGCTTCAAATCTGCTATATAGGTATGATCCCCGCTGTAACCAGTGGATAAAGGTGAGACTTGAACTGTATTATTTCTCTGTTTAAAGTCCTTTATGTCTAGAGTGTTTTCTTCTTTCTGGTGGAAGGACAGGGCTCATTAGAATAGCCAACATAGCAACACTTGCAAATAGAAGTTAAAGCTATTTAAGCTGAAAAAGCAGCTACTTGAACCCTTTGTGGATTCTTTGTTTACACACACAGCAGAAGAGTTTGGGGCAGATTTTCAACTTCAGTTGAGATTTGGATGCCTCATCTGTGAAATTCTTGGTCAGCATCCACCTGCAACTCTTAAGAGTACTTTGGGACTAATGCTACAATGGATTTAGAGAGGTGATTGTTTAGTTCATCTTTCTCAAGCAGGAGCACATACAACTAAATCAAAACTGGATGTGATGTAAAAAGAATGTCTTTGATTCTTGTCCAATGTCTCTGTACTAAATTATCTCTTGGAACAAGCTATTTAGTTCCAGTCTGCTGTAAAACCTTGCGGGCAGTGCAGATCCCCATATGAACCAATCATTCCATGTGGTTCAGTTGTGGTTTTGAGTGATTCCAGTAGGGTGGTGAGGCACTGGAATGGGTTGCCCAGGGAGGTTGCGAATGCTCCATCCCTGGCAGTGTTCAAGGCCAGGTTGGACGGAGCCTTGGGTGGCATGGTTTAGTGTGAGGTGTCCCTGCCCATGGCAGGGCCTTTGGAACTAGATGATCTTAAGGTCCTTTCCAACCCTAACTATTCTATGGTTCTATGATCCTATGTTTCTTGCAGAGTTTTGGAAGGAAGCCTATGTAAGACAAAATTTATAGAGTAATCTGCCTCTTATATGCTTCCTGTTGTCCCCTTTTTTGTAAATGAATGCTATGTAACATGCTATTGCAGAAAAACAAAAAGTATTTTATGAATATAATGGTCAAAACCAGTAGCCCTTTCCAAATAAATGGGAAGAACTGTTCTATCCTTGGACATGAATATACTTCAGTCAGCTTGCTTACCAGATGTTTGAAGATATCAGCATGTTGTTCTTTTTGACAGGTCGCCTCCATGAGACAGCGCCGTGTAGATTTCTACCTGGGAGCTGTTACCGACATGCTGGTAGCTGTTGGTGGCAGGAATGAAAATGGAGCACTTTCTTCAGTTGAGACTTACAGTCCTCAGAAGGATTCATGGTCCTACATAGCAGGCTTGCCCAGGTAATAGACATGTTTGGAAAGTTATCCTGTGTTTGAAGAACACTTGTAAAGCGAGCTGATGAATGTGTATGCCTAGAAAAGAGGTGAGGGGTATGAAACCAACATGGTATCTGCAAGTAACAAACCATATCGGCATTTGGTATTTGAGCAACCAGCTCTTCCATGACAATATGCCTGATGTCAGCTTGGTTGGCTGTAATACTTACGCTGAGATAAGTCTGAAGTGTAAGAGGGAGAATTCTTGGAATTCTGCTCTACTACTCTTAAAATGTTATTCCTGAGGTCACAAGGAACTGAATCTTTTCAGAGGCACTGTGTAGATCTTGAGCAAAGGCTTTTCTAATTTATTTGGCCTTGTCACCTTGGTGTGATGGTTTTCCTTGTAAGGTGTTTCTGGCTGCTCAGTTTGACTGTTGCAGTTAAACCACATTGACCTGTATTGCAGATAGGTAACCCTGGCAAATGTGACCTCTGTTTCTCTCAGCTTGAGTTAGATCTTAGCTGTTCTGAGAGGCTTTAGTATACTGCAGCTCTTCTTGTAACAGCAGCACAGGACATTGCTAGTATTTTGAATCAATATGTGAGTGGTGACCTCATAAGAATGGTAGGATAGCATGAAATTTGCAGAGAGCTATTCAGGCTTAGTAATATTTGGCATCCATGGAAATTACAGGAGTATTGGCTATGTGAATAGTGTTTTCTTGTCTGAAATCCACGACAGCAGCAGCAGCATTTGCTTTCTTAATGGCATCACAAACAAGATAATTGCAATCTGATTTCTGAGTTGAGGCTTCTTTCCCTTGTTCCCTTAGCCGCAGAGCTGCAGAGTCAGAGGCGCCTGTTACTCAGTTCTATTTTGGGCTGGTGCTGCAATGCGAGTGTGATCCAGGCTAACAGCTGGGCTCGAGTGCTCTTCAGAACCATGGTGCTTTTATCCACTTCATTTCTGCTCACACAGGCAGGTTGAGCAGTCAAGGCTAAACAAGACAATCATTTTCCTGAGAAGCTGGGTACAAGAGCATCTTCAGTTCTAAGCCTTACCATTAACTGGGGTGACCTGTGAGATGCCAGTAGCATCTCACAGAAATTGTAGCACCTCTCTTCTTTTCTTCTAAACATTTTTCTAAGAAGTGTAGATGTGACCTCACTGGCTTGTTAGAAAAACAACCTTAGAACAGGTATGGATCTTTTTGCTCATAAGTGATCCTGGGGAAGCTTGCACAATTGGCTTAAGCAGCCACACTGCAAGCTGTCCAAATAGGCACAGTTTGCATGTTCCTCTTGCTACCTGAGTGCTGGCTTTGGGAATTTTACAGCTGCAGCGTGTAAAAGTGAACTTGGACATAGGGCATGTTAGTTTTTAATTCGATTGCATAGCTGATCCACTTGTACTTGGCAAAAATCCCCCTTATGGGATAGACCCCACTTAAACTGACTTGACTGATCACTAAGGTGCAGGGTTGGGCTGTACAGTGACTGTTTTAAGCTATTGCTGCATCCCGAAAACACAGTCTGGCATCCTTTCTTTCTGCCTGCTCTGTCCTCAGCCCATGCTAACTGTCCTTTGAGCCAGCTCAAGTATTTCTAGGGAACTAGATAGTGTCCCAGACTTCCATGCAGCTGCTCTCTTCCATGTTAATATGTCTTTATTCAGATCTTAACGGACACTTAGTACCTTCAGCTTTTCTGTCTTTTTCAGCCCTCTTTGTTCTTTTGGAGAACTCTTGCCTTGGGCAGCATATTGTTTGCAACAACCACTTGCCTCCATAGAAAGAGTAAAGCACAAAATACATTATGCAGTTTGCAAAAGGCAAAAATCAGTGCAGAGGTGGACAAAGGAAGAAACCTTTCTGAATGCAGGGGCAGGCTGCTTGAGCTCAGAGAGGGGAGCAGCTCTGGGAAGGGACCTTTCCTGATGTACCTCACATGGGTTTGCAGGCAGGATAAGAAGGAAATTTGTGCTCTGTTCAAAACCAAAAGAAAGCACCTTAGCTACAGCTCCTTCTGTGTACTCCTACCTTCCCTTCAACATGCCCTTGAGCCAATCTGTTTTTCTCCCCCTCACATGCTTTTGTTCCTCAGACTGATTTTAGTTACTGTTTTCACTTAAATAACATCTTCCCCAGCACTATTCTAGCAGCATTCCCGTCACATGGGCGAAATCAGAAGCTCCAATCCCGAGTGCCTGATTAGGATGTCCCATCATAGCTGCCTCCATAGCTGCCTTGTTTCCTGTATTTCATGAGAGTTCGTTCGTCCTCTTGAGTGCATGGCCACCAGAAGCAGGGCAGAGACTCATGGAAGACCATTCACTGGAGTGATGGGTGCATCTTGAGGTCTTTCTGGTGCAAGGGCTTGTATAGTTCAATTTGAGCTGTGTGGAGTGGACTCTCAGAGGTTATATTTGTTACAACTTCTATTCTGAGCATCCAGAAAAGGGTTTAATTTTTTTCTTCCCAAGGGTTATAGTTTGCCATGTTTGTGGAGACTTCCAGGGGAAAGGCTGTAGTTGCGTTCTTGACACACACCTCCTGTCTGCTGCCAAATCCTGTGTCCGTGTTGCTGTACCCAGGCACAGTCACACCCCCCTAAAGAGCTTTGCAAGCCCTGTTTTTGTCTCTTCTTCCCTCTACCCTCTTCCCACCCAACGTGGTCAAACCAACACGCTGTTTTCTCTAGCCAGTCTCCTGGTAGGAGCTGAGATGTTTTGGTTGAGGTACTGCTGTCTTAGTGGAGAAGAAAACACAGCCTCTTGAGGCAGATGCTTACTGTGGAAAACTTCAGCCAAGCTATCTGACGGGTGGACCTGGTTCAAGTCTGCTACAAGTGAATTCTGCCTGACTCTCATTAGGGTCCTTGGTTGTGGGATACTTTTCCCATTCTTCAGAGAGGTCCTGTGTTTTGTTTTCACCATTTTCCCAGGCTCTCTGGGAGCATCTGCTGCCATAGTTTCTAGCCCAGAAGCGAGCAGCAGCGGCTGACAAGCTTGGCAGAACAGAAGTTGGTGCAATGTGTTCTCATGTTGAATAGACCATGAAAAAAAACCTGCTGCAGACATCAGTGAAATTAATTGAGTGGCCCTAGGTTAAAGTTTGGCAGAACAACTGAAAGCAGTTGTGAGTGGAAATGTGTTGGGACAGGTTAAGGAGTGATGGTATCTGCTCTGCTAGTTGTGTCATGACTAACCTCGCAGGGTTGGAGCAGGTGGACACCAAGATTCAGAGCAACCACAGCTTGCCTGGACTTTGGTTGGAGCAGGGGATTCCCAAAGCTTTATCCAGCCTGACCAAGTGTTCTTCTGTGCAAGAAAATAAGTGGTAGATTCTTTAGCATTTACTGAATGGTGTTACTGGGTCAGAAACTGTAAGTTTGCAGTGCTGTATCGAGTAAGTAATTCAGAATCGGTGACTGGCTCTAGCAGCAGTTCTAAATTGAAACTCCTTTCCCCTTAATGCTTCTGTCTTATTCTGATCACTTACTGGTAACGCTGGAGAACACTTGATTCTTTCTGTTGGAGGATGTCTGTACCCACGGTATTGAAGTTTCCTGTTGTGTTTTGTGTTTAGAAATGCCATGGGCTTTCAGAGAGGATCCCTATTGATTGTTTTCAACTCGTGTATTATATTTCATTCCATTTTCTATTAACGTGAAGGAGGGTATGTGCAATTTTGGATGAGCTTTTCAAAAGACAGGCAAAGTGAAACACCTCCAGTGTATTTTAATGAGTAATCTCCCTGAATTGAAAAATAACAAATTGATGGCTGATTTGATGCTTCAGATATGATTGCCTCTTTCAGATTACTTTTGTAGTTATTGCTGTTCACGAGGCATAGCCACTGATTGAGGCAAAAAGCATCAGCTTTTTCTGTAGCTGTCTATGCTAGGCTGCACTCATGTGCTTGAGAGAAAATATCTGTTTCTGGTTTACCTCTACAGAACTCCACTTTGCAATTACTGTAGGAAAACAAAATTTCAACAGGGGTCACACAAGTTTTCTTTGATTTGCTGCCATTTATTTTTAATTTTAATTAAAATGCTGAATGTAATGTGATTGTTATCAGCAGCTCAATAATCCTGGGCTTTGTGCTGGATCCAGTGTCATTGCACTGTTCTCTTGGCTCCTCAAAACCATATGTTACTTGAAACTGCCTCCACAGTGGAGCGTATTGCACGTCCTCCAGGTGGCTTGCTGGTTAGATGTGGGTTTAAAATCTGTTGCAATTTGAGAAAGGAGACTAATTCAAGTTGTCCATTCCACTTCTCAGATAGGCAGTCTACTTTTTAAGACCCATCCCTGGGTATATAGAGAAGCCAAAGATTCCAGCAACCACACTGGGTGCCACTGGAGACATCAGCTTCTGGTTCTTGTCCATAAGTGACCACAAACAAGGTGGAGCAGCAGCTATGCATGCTTCACCTGCCACAGCTTTTCTGGGAGGTGTGAAAGCTGGAGAGCATTGCTCAGGGTATGTCATGTCAAAGAGAAGCACTGAGCATGAGTTCTGTGGTTCCGTGGTTAGGGAGATTGTGAGCTGTGGAATTGTTGAGTTGCTTTTTGGGATAAAGTCTCATAACTATGCTTAGTCCTCCCTTTTTTTCTCTCTCTTTCTTTTTCCTGTTTGACTAAGAAGCAGTACAGTTCTGAAGTAATCTCTGCAAGGTCTCCGGGGATGGGGCTGCAGCTCTTATAGTTGAAAGGTCTGGTCTGGTCACTCAGCATTCTCAAGCCAAGTGTGTCAAGGATTTCTCTGTTTCTTGTAGCAGGAGCCTGTTAAATGATCTGATTCATACACCAGTAAGGGATCAGAAGCTTCCGTAGGCATCTAGAATAATAAACATCTTTTAGCTTTTCTCAGAACTGTTGTGCTTTCGGCGTAGATGCGGGGTTTCTTTTCTATTCCACCTTTTCCTTTGGCACAAAAGTGCTTGGCGCTGAGGTGTGTGGAAGAGCTTATGATACCATTTGCGTTGCTGAAACTATTACCATGCAAAATAAAAATGGCTCAGGCTTCTATCCACATTGTTTCAAGCATGTTCAGACATGGTTCAAAAGCATTCCAGGCTAAAGTAATGCTAATGTACCTTTGCCTGCCATAGAGATTGAGTCGTCTTGCGTCCTTGACTACAAAGGATGGTAGTAGAAGCTGGTGACTACAGCATGAGGAGTATATTGCTCTGCAGCCCTATGGGTATTAAATTTGGCTCTTTGTGCCAGTGTGTGAGCCAGGTTGCTGTGGCTGGTGCTGCATCTACATCTTTTGACACCCTGCACACCCCCAAAAAAGGAAAAAGGCATGTGCAGGAAGGCGACGTTCAAAGAAGACAGTGCTGTCCTTTGCCTTAGCATTCCACTCTGAAGAGCTCAGAGGGATTTGGTTGGGAATATCCTTGTGTGAAGTCATAGAAAAGCCTCAAAAGTAGGTTTGTAGTGGCTTTATTACAGCTGATAAAAGGGGTTTTCTTTCTGCCTTGTGGAAACGGCACATGTGGTGTTGGTTCTGCCATCTCAGTGTGTCTTGTTTCAAAATGTGGATGCTAAGCTATGATTGACTGAGGTGTGTTGGCTTGTCCTGGGGTGACCATAGAAGTTGATTACCTGTATAGAAGTGGTAAAACAGAGGGATACTCATGAAAAGGACACTTGCATGTACCATGACTACAGATATACTGGCTCATGGATAGTTGTGGGTAAGAAATGTGATTTGTGATCCTGATGCTGTGAAAGGGGAAGGCAGCAGAGGTTTTCTTTGTTAATAGCTACTGATAAGTCTGAGAGGTATCATGATTATTTCCTCTTTCTGTCATAGAAACCCTTGCTGAATGTGGATATTATCCTCTCTGACCTTCTCAAACTTATCCAACCCGAACACTGGAGCAGGAAAATGGGAGTGAAGGCCATGCCAACGAGAGCAGGACAGGTTACTTCTGTTGTATGACACACTGTAGAGGATGTCTTAAAAAGTGATTGTCATACCTTTGCGTACTGCAGCACAGGGTGGAGCACTGTGGATGAGAATAGTTACTTGATAACTAAGAGGATTAAGGATTCCCTTGTCTTTAGTTACTATTTTGTTCTTTAGTAGCAGTCCCTGTTGAACACTGTTTGTCTTGATGAAATCCATAAGCACTAAGCCAGACCGGTTTTTGCTTTCCTGTCCTAGGTTTACCTACGGCCATGCTGGAACGGTCTTCAAGGAATTTGTGTACATTTCAGGAGGCCATGATTACCAAATCGGCCCCTACAGAAAAAACCTGCTGTGTTACGACTACCGCACAGATGTCTGGGAGGAGAAGAGGCCAATGATTGTTGCCCGAGGGTGGCACAGCATGTGCACCTTACAGGACCACATCTACTCCATCGGTGGCAGCGATGACAACATAGAAACCATGGCTCGCTTTGACATTCTGAGTGTGGAGTCCTACAGCCCTCAGTGTAACCAGTGGACCAGAGTTGCTCCTCTGCTGCAAGCAAACAGTGAGTCAGGGGTGGCAGTTTGGGAAGGAAAGATTTATATCCTCGGAGGCTACAGCTGGGAAGAAACGGTCTTCTCCAAAACGGTCCAGGTTTATGATAAGGAGAAAAATAAGTGGTACAAGGGAACTGACTTACCCAAAGCAATTGCTGGTGTGTCTGCATGTGTCTGTGCGTTGAAACCCAAAACAGAGGACAAGAAGAAAAAGACAAAAACAAGAAAACATCAAGATCGAGGAAGATGACTACTCCTGGATAACCACTCTTTGATAGTGGGCTCCAGAAGGACCTTGTATTAAATAATTTTTATCTAACCTTGACTCTTTTTGAGTGGGGGGGGGGATATTCTGAAGCCTCATAAAATGTACAGTTGAATGTGGTTTTGGGAATTAAGTTCATGGTTAAGATAAAAACAACAAAAGAAACAAACACCCCAACCTTCCAACTCTTTAAGGGGTGAGATGGCAAGGGAGGTTGTGCTGCTCTCCTGAACGTTAACGCTTAGTCTTTTACTTTTTGGCTCGTGGCATTTCCACCTAAGTTGTATAATGTCAGTGTTTTCAAAATAAGGTTTAATCTGTGGCTAAATTGATAATATCAAGGGAGAGGAAGGAGGCAGAGTACTGAGTGTCTGGTTTGAATTTAACAGAGCAGTTCAATGGGATTTAGAAACAGCTGCTATGAGAAAATTAAATGGATCTTCACTGTTGTAAATCTTGTTTTTTATTCTTTTTTTTTTGTAACGTTGTATTTCATTTACAATATGTTCTTGAGTTGTAAGTATCAGATTTCTGGAACACATAGGTGTTCGAAGAGGATATTGCTTTTGCTGGATGTAGGTCAGATCAGCTTGAAGAGCAAATAACTCCACTGTACTCTTTAAGATTAAGATCTTTCTATGTAGCTGAAGAATAGATAGGATTGACTGGGGCTTGGACCGACAGCATTATGACTTGGAAATCTGGGAGAGATGACTTTTGCATCCCTTGTTGTGGTACTTTTCATCTTTAAACAAGTTTTCCTTGGTCTTTAAACAGTGCCCCAGATTGAGTTTAAAAAAAAATCTATTGAAGAACTTGAAAGAAGATTTGAGAATTTGGATGGAAACTGCACAATTTGCCTCAGGCTTCAAAGCAGATGGAACTCATAGAGCCCACTGCAAGTCTGAGGTTTGCTGAATAGGGTTACAGTGGGGAGAAGTAGCAGGAGGATCCCTCAGGTGGACTTGAAGTGGGAAGATATCCCTGCCTAGCCCTAAGATGATGTAGAAGCTGGGATCCACCTCACTTAAGTCAAGGCTCACAGCAGTCATGGCTAGTAGCCAATGTGAGCAGGGATCCATACTAGACTTTGCTGTCAAAAAGCTTAAGGATGTTTAATTGGGTTTTGGTAATCCTGAAGGACAGCAACTTGTTTTTTTTGCCTGAGCTAATAGCTCACACTTTCCTCCTTTAAGTTCAAAATGTCTCCTTAAGTCAAGGCTCACAGCAGTCATGGCTAGTAGCCAATGTGAGGAGGGATCCATACTAGACTTTGCTGTCAAAAAGCTTAAGGATGTTTAATTGGGTTTTGGTAATCCATAAGGACAGCAACTTGGTTTTTTTGCCTGAGCTAATAGCTCACACTTTCCTCCTTTAAGTTCAAAATGTCTCCTTGAGAGTAGCCTTTCCTGATGGGTTTGGTGGGGACTCACCAGTCCCTCACCAGTTGTGCAATCAAACACCTTCCCCAGCAAGACAGGTTCAAAAGGGAGGAACCCAAAATATACTTGGGCCTGTGTTTGGGGTCCAGACACTGGGGATGAACTGACAATCGTCTGTGAGACCCTTTGTGTCACAGTATCCTCTGCATACCAAGTAGAGAGATTTCCGACCCAAGTGTTAGTCCACCCTCTACAAACACAGCTGATTCTGCTGCAGATACTAAAATTCCCCGACTGTCTGGGCAGCTTTCAGGCATTCACCCTGGGGCATTTCACAAATGCACCTCTGATTCACAAGAAGTCAATCACCAGCAATCTGATACAGCCACTTCAGTTATTGTAATAATGCCGCAGACTAAATATTCCTCCTTCCCAAGAGAAGAACTTTATAGGCAGTTTTTAAAAACAACTTTTATACTTTTTTATACCGCATTTTGCTAACTCAGTCTCCTGTTTGCCATATATTGTTATTTACTGTAGAAGCTACTGCTCTGTAATCGTGGCCCTGCTGTTGCCATCAGGAGCTCATCGTTTGATGGCTCTGTTGGTCTTTGTGTAGTTGCTTGGGGTGCAGTGCAGCTGTTGGAGCAGCATTTACATTCTCAGCATTGTCGGGCAGTCCGCTGTAATTGTGACTATTGTACAGGCTCTTCCCCATAGCCGAGCTCGACAGACGTGCTGATAAACACGCTTTATTTGCAACTATTGGGGATCTGCAGGGGCTTTGGTTTAAAGTCCTGCTGGGGAACTGTTGATTGTTGCTGGTTTTCTTCCCTGATCCTTCTTTCATGTCTCCCTTGTGCACCATAACTATGTATTTAAGATTTGCCTTCTTTATTTGCATGTGGTGTACATACAGCTGATATCCCGCTACCCTCCTTTTTTATTATTTTTTAACTATTTACCTCAATAACTGGAAAACACTAAGAAAAAATTTTTGCACTTAATCACATTTGAAGCTCTTGTAAATTGAAGAACTCTCACATACATTGTAAGACTGTATTTGTATTGAAAGGTACTTCTGAGTAAGTCTCTGGAGTGCAAGGATGTTACAGGTTTCCTCTTCAGTGCTAAGAAAGGTTTTAAGAAAACTAACTGAAAGTATTTTTGTGAAACCCCTTGAGGATTTTTTTGGTGTTTAAAAACAAAAAAGGCCTCTGGAATTAGTCTTTCATTTGCATTACTGGATTTCTTTTATATCCTTTTTACACTGCATGAGGTAATGGTTATTATTTTTTACCCTAAAAATAAATTTTCATCCAACCAAGCAAAAAAAAAAAATACCATTTTATGACAAACTCATTTTAGTTGTTTAGTTTATAATCTGTAATCCTTGCTATGTTGACTGACAACTACTTAACTTTTTTTGATATTTTCATGTGTATAGAACGTAAATTTCAATGTTTCTGTTAATGGGTTGCTTGTTCCTATATCCTTCCCTTTTAATGTGTTTATGTATTGCATTAATGTCTGGAAACAATAAATTCAGTTTAGACTATTGCATTCATCACCATCTGACTTGTGCATTGATTTAAGGGAGGCTTTCCTTTTTGAGAAATTGCAGAAGGAATTTTGTAATTATGTTTAAGTGGCATTGATAATAGTGGAAACATTTTAAAAGGCAGAAGCTAAATGTAACAACATGAAGTAGAAAACTAACTTCTGGCTAATCCACCTTTTCTGCATGGTGCTCCAGACCAGGCAGTCAGAAACTACTTTGCACATCCTTCGCAGCTGTGAGCAAAAGACCTGATCCAGTTTATATAGTGGTTTCAAATACAACACTTAATGGGGAGTAGATAAACACGTTAGGACTTCATAACTTTAAACTTAATTGCAGGGGCAGAATAGAACCTCAGTACTCATTAAAGAAAGCTTTATTTTTCCCAATCCATTTATCATCCCTTCGAAAACAGAGGCTAGAAGTGAGTATGGGACATCTCTCACATTACTGGGGGCCACTGGGGTATCACACCTGTTGTTGCTGTAAGCATTTCTTCACTATTACATGAAGAAGTTATTACCATTTGCACCTCTGAGAGCCACAGCAGCTAAGCATTGCCAAAAGCACAGTCTGGCAGCATGGATTTTGGATGTTATGAACCCAGACATGGCTTATCACTCAGGACGTGTTAGGAGACAGGACTTGATGCCCAAAAATAAGTTGAGCTCCCAAGTGCTGAACTGCTCTGTGCAATAGGTGTGCTGGAATTCTGCAGAAACGAAAGAGTATGTATGACACAAGTGGATTTCTACTTTGATTTTTGAGGTCTGAACAGCTCCCTAGGTGAGTAATTAAAATGGGTAGACAAAAGGCATATTCTCCTGGTCTGTGCTTCTAGAATCACTCTGGCTCCTGCACCTGCCTTCAACTTCAAGCTCTATAAAACCTTTTAGTTCTTGCCAGGAAGCACAGATCTTTCTTCCTGCCCTGCGGAGAAATAAGTACTGCTCTATCTCCTTTTAGAAAGGCTCCTATTGCCAAATTGTGAGGAAAGCTCGTTTTACCTGACACAGAGCAGCTACCAAATACCTCAGGTTTTCTCTTTCCACACTTCCATGCCTGTATCTTTGCATCAGCATTGTCAAGGAGCTGCTGCCTGTAATACCAATGTTAGATAACATAAATCCCTCGAGATACCTTAAGGAAAAATTCACTGACATAAGAGATGAAGTTGTTCTGAAGGCTTGAGAAAGAAGCTGGAAATATTTTTGTTAAATTGAAATAAATGTGTCTGTCTCTTTGTCTGTCTCCATAAGATCAAACTGCTTTCCCCAAATACTGGTGATTTTCCATGTGCAGTTTAGGATTCAGTATTTTTTTAAAGTGACAGATTTTATTTTCGGCTCTTGTCATATTTCAGTTCTCATGAATGTAATAATGAGAAGCTAATTACTCCTTTGTGACCTTACAGCTTTGAGTTGTCTCACAGGCACTGGATCAGAGCTGATGTACCCCAAATCCAGATGGAGGTATCCTGCCTGTGTGCTGTGAGTCTGAGCACAAATCAACTCCAACTACTCATGATTTCCTTCTCCCTTCTGACAACTCCATGATTCAGTGAGAGACACAGACAGCACAGCAGCGGGTTTGTTGATCCCACATGCATTTTTTAGCATCACACAGGCTCTTCTTGGAACTTCAAGTGGCTTTGGGAAAATACGTACCTTTGTTTATATCCTGATGGGTTTGGTGACAGAACATGAAAGGAAAGTGAGACGTAGACTTGCAGGTCTTTTTTGAGACTGCAGCCCTAAACCAGATGATTGCATGAGAGGAGAGAAGGCTCATGTTGAAGATATGGATGAGTAAGTCACAGATAATTCAGCCATGAGGTCTGAATAGATAATTGAAACACAGAACATACTGAGCCAAGTCTCCACATGATCTACTAAAGGCTTGCCCAGACTTCAAATTTGTTTCAGGCTGACTTGAACTGGTCCATACTGAAGTTCCTTACATTGACAAATTAAATGTATTTATTACAATTTCCCAGCAAATTTAGAAATACAGAGTTTGAAGCCAGATTTGTGTTACTGCATTTTTGGAATATAATATTTGCTATTGGTGTTCTTTGCTACTTGGCTTATTGTGTCCACCCACTTCTGGCCTCTGCGATTCAGGCCACAGCAAGTTAAAACTTATTCTGTAGTCTTATTTCAGTGCTCTGGGTACTCCACAGTATAAGGCTTTAGGAAAACCTCAGGAGAGACTATCCAGTGATAGCAGCTGTCCAAAAAAAAAAGAGGATCAACAAGAAGGACCAAAGCAAGTTCTCCGAAGGAAGAAGCACTTTATCAGGGCTGCAAAAATGTGCTGTTATAACCATGAGAAGCAAAAGGGACCTCCTTCAGCAGTGACTTCTGTTCCTTCTCACAGGCACCACATCGTGTAACAAACAGCCTTTGGGTTCCTATGACCACAGTGAAAACAGCAGTGAAAACATCTACCTCCCTCCAGCAAAGCTCACAGCACCTCTTGGACCTCATGCTGGAGGAGATCTGTGGCAGC